TTGTGCATTCTTTTTGCCTCATTATGCTGCACGCATTGTATTTAAGCATGCTCACTGTTTCTTTTGTAGTATTAGTGACTTTGATAGAAACCTATCACAATGTTTTATTGTAGTTCAGTAGTGGCTCAATGAAATGAAAAATTCTGCAGTCTGATATAAAACAAATGTGACAAAGTCATTATTTATTTCAATGCTTCTTCAAGGATTTGAACCCAGAACCCTGGTAGATACTGACTGCACTCTACCACTAGCCTTGAGACAGCTTCTCTTTAGCTCGATCGGTTGAGCGTCAGACTAGTAAACTAGAGGTCCCAGGATCAGATCATAGCAGAACATTATGATAAATGATGACCTCAGTTGTACAGGAAGTCACATATCTATCAAATTTCTTTAAGTATGACAGAATGTGATTTATACTTTAGTTGTGTCGGTTTGATCAGCATTTAATGTTTCCTTATATGGGATACACAGAGGTTACAACATGTAATACAGGTGTTTCAGAGTATTTCTTTCAGATTGGTGATGTCGATGGAATAAAAGTTCTAATAAAACAACCAGTAGATTTTAATGCATCGTTTTGATGATTTACATGGTCACTTTTGTTGGACACATGACCGGTGTGGAGCATGACAAATGACCAGTGTGTAACATCAAATGACCGGTGTGGAGCATGACAAATGACCAGTGTGTAACATCAAATGACCAGTGAGGAGCATGACAAATGACCAGTGTGTAACAACAAATGACCAGTGTGGAGCATGACAAATGACCGGTGAGGAGCATGACAAATGACCAGTGTGTTTACTACATACTGTTTTCGACAGTAGAAAAAGTTGGCTGATTCCATACCATCTCGTACACTACGTACATCACTGTTAGTACACTTCACACTAGTCATTTAACTGATAACGATGACTGTGTAGATCTCGTACACTACGTATGTCAGTGCTAGTATACTCCACACTGGTCATTTGTCTGATAACGATGACTGTGTAGATCTCGTACACTACGTACGTCACTGTTAGTACACTTCACACCGGTCATTTGTCTGATGACGATGACTGTGTAGATCTCGTACACTTCGTACGTCAGTGCTTGCACACTAAACACTGGTCATTTGTCTGATGACGATGACTGTGTAGATCTCGTACACTACGTACGTCAGTGCTAGTATACTCCACACTGGTCATTTGTCTGATAACGATGACTGTGTAGATCTCGTACACTACGTACGTCAGTGCTAGTACACTCCACACTGGTCATTTGTCTGATGACGATGACTGTGTAGATCTCGTACACTACGTACGTCAGTGCTTGTACACTAAACACTGGTCATTTGTCTGATGACGATGACTGTGTAGATCTCGTACACTACGTACGTCAGTGCTAGTACACTCCACACTGGTCATTTGTCTGATGACGATGACTGTGTAGATCATTTGTCTGATGACACTGTGTACGTACGTCAGTGCTAGTAGTGCGTACACCCACACTGGTCATTTGTCTGATGACGATGACTGTGTAGATCTCGTACACTACGTACGTCAGTGCTAGTACACTCCACACTGGTCATTTGTCTGATGACGATGACTGTGTAGATCTCGTACACTACGTACGTCAGTGATAGTACACTCCACACTGGTCATTTGTCTGATGACGATGACTGTGTAGATCTCGTACACTACGTAGGTCAGTGATAGTATACTCCACACTGGTCATTTGTCTGATGATGATGACTGTGTAGATCTCGTACACTACGTACGTCAGTGATAGTATACTCCACACTGGTCATTTGTCTGATGACGATGACTGTGTAGATCTCGTACACTACGTACGTCAGTGATAGTACACTCCACACTGGTCATTTGTCTGATGATTGTGACCGTGTAGTTATAGAAACTCTTCTACTGGTTGTGTTATAAGTACATTTATTTTATATACGACAAGTGTTTGTGGTATATGGTACATTGGAATTTCTCTCATTCCAGTTACTTATTTATTAACAGTTACATAAAACATGAGCTGTAGCTGTTATAACTTTTAAAAAATGACCAGCAAGTATGAAAGAAATACCATATACATGTTTGTGTGACAGGTTTCTTCCACAAGAAAAAGCTGTTCAAATTGAAATAGACCTGCTCTGCACCAACATGTTTTGTTTATACATCAGCTATGGAGTAATGATATGAATTGTTGTTAAATGCTACTAATTAATATACAAAATTAAGAATTTCAGAAATATATGGAAATATTTTAATTCATCACAAATTTTAACAATGAATGGATGGGTTTTTTTTTTTTTTTTTTTTTTATAAAACTTCTGGAGATCTACATAAAAAATCAAAGTTTTACAGAAACTATTTTGAACTTCTTATTAAATGCTTTTAATTTCCACAAGAATGTGAAGTGCCCTTTCTGTCAAAGTTCAACTTCTCAAACATAAATAACTTTTTTTTTCAATTGTCTGCCTCTTTTCAAAATGGTCTGTTGGTGGAAATACACGACAAATTGTAATAGAAATAGTATTTTAACATGTTTAGACTTCTTGTTTGCTTCTGTGTGACTTCAGCTTGAGGCAGATATAATGGATACATGCCCAGGAAACTTTCACAGTGGATTAGCTATACCCTGTTTTGTCATTTTCGCTAATAGCATGAAAGTAATGTCTGGACTAAAATTTGATATTAAATCCAATGTATTTGTTTTGATATATGTTAGATTCAATTAAATCATGCCGGTCAAAAAATAGCAAATTTCAATTGAGGACAAAAAAAAAACATGAGTGAATTTTTCCCTGTATGCTGTAATCATATTACAGTCGGTTTCTATCAGTGTTTGATCATACAAGCCATATTAGTACAGTAGTAAATCTATATGGGAGTCCCAAGTCCTGTACACATAGAATGTTGATGGTATATATAAAATTTCTGGAAATACTTAGTTTCTAACGTTGAGTGACCCATTGTTTTTAACATAAAGTAGAAACAGACTCATGAAAACAAATTGTAGATTGATCTTTGTTATTATTTAGCCAAAAACTACAGTGGATTTCAATTTTTATACAAATCTGAATGATGTCTGTGGCACCGTTTAAGATTTTTAGCATTTGTCTTTTGTCTTTTAGTTTGTTTGATGTTATTTCCTTTTGGATCGTTGTGTGTTTTACCGGTTGATTGCCCTAATGACCTTTTATGTGTTGACGGGCTGTTAAGATTATAATAATGATAAAAATAATTATGATATCTGTGTCGTTCATCTTGATAACAAGAATAAATGGTTAGTAGTGATAGGCTTACTGTTTAATCAGATATTTTGGCGGGACTCAAATTTTTGGGTGCGACTAAAATTTCAAAAAAATGTTTTGAGGTTGAAACTTAATTTTGTAGATAAATGATTCTCAAAAAATCCACTGAAGTACTATAATCCATGTCAGATTTCATCAGTTTATCCTTTTGTTGGTATAATTTATAGATTTAGATTACAAGCATACTTAACAAAATATATCTCCTCAAAAAAGTCATGATTTAGCAGATTTTATTCAGTATTTAAGATGGTAAGGATTGTCTTATAACACCGGTGTAGTCTGGTAAGACATGGGTGTACCGGGTGTAAATTTGGAAATTTTCTGTACATATGTATTCAGTAATTCAGACCGTAAGGATTGTTGTATTACATTAGTGTGGTCTAGTAAGACATGCATTTACCAGGTGAAAATTTTGACATGTTATAAAAGTCAGTAGGGTGGGGCTTTACATGGGTTTATCATTGGTAAGTAGGGTACTCCTTCTATAACCTGGGTTTACCTGTGGTAAGTAGGGTACTCTTTCTATAACCTGGGTTTACCTGTGGTAATTATAAGTAGGGTACTCCTTCTATAACCTGGGTTTACCTGTGGTAATTATAAGTAGGGTACTCCTTCTATAACCTGGGTTTACCTGTGGTAATTATAAGTAGGGTACTCCTTCTATAACCTGGGTTTACCTGTGGTAATTATAAGTAGGGTACTCCTTCTATAACCTGGGTTTACCTGTGGTAAGTAGGGTACTCCTTCTATAACCTGGGTTTACCTGTGGTAATTATAAGTAGGGTACTCCTTCTATAACCTGGGTTTACCTGTGGTAAGTAGGGTACTCCTTCTATAACCTGGGTTTACCTGTGGTTATTATAAGTAGGGTACTCCTTCTATAACCTGGGTTTACCTGTGGTAAGTAGGGTACTCCTTCTATAACCTGGGTTTACCTGTGGTAATTATAAGTAGGGTGCTCCTTCTATAACCTGGGTTTACCTGTGGTAATTATAAGTAGGGTACTCCTTCTATAACCTGGGTTTACCTGTGGTAAGTAGGGTACTCCTTCTATAACCTGGGTTTACCTGTGGTAAGTAGGGTACTCCTTCTATAACCTGGGTTTACCTGTGGTTATTATAAGTAGGGTACTCCTTCTATAACCTGGGTTTACCTGTGGTAAGTAGGGTACTCCTTCTATAACCTGGGTTTACCTGTGGTAAGTAGGGTCCTCCTTCTATAACCTGGGTTTACTGTGGTAATTATAAGTAGGGTACTCCTTCTATAACCTGGGTTTACCTGTGGTAATTATAAGTAGGGTACTCCTTCTATAACCTGGGTTTACCTGTGGTTATTATAAGTAGGGTACTCCTTCTATAACCTGGGTTTACCTGTGGTAAGTAGGGTACTCCTTCTATAACCTGGGTTTACCTGTGGTAAGTAGGGTCCTCCTTCTATAACCTGGGTTTACTGTGGTAATTATAAGTAGGGTACTCCTTCTATAACCTGGGTTTACTGTGGTAATTATAAGTAGGGTGCTCCTTCTATAACCTGGGTTTACCTGTGGTAATTATAAGTAGGGTACTCCTTCTATAACCTGGGTTTACCTGTGGTAAGTAGGGTACTCCTTCTATAACCTGGATTTACATGTGGTAATTATAAGTAGGGTACTTCTTCTATAATCTGCTAATTAATACATATTTTGATGCTTATGTAGCGTTTGGAGGTTTCAACATGGTGCCATCCTTACGTCCCCTCGAAACACTACACAACAAACTAACCATGCGGGACATGGATTTATTCTTCGGCCGTGTCACCACCACCAAGTTTACTCCAGTGTCCTCTCCACCATACGGTTCCTCATCCAACACACCGGTTGTCTCACCACGACCACCAGCATTCCTCAGAGGTAAGTTACCTCCCCTTTCCAGAGAATGTCTATAAAAAGCTGGTGTCACTGAGAGCTTTTAATATCACAGATGTAAATTACATGTATAGTAAATCTCTAGGAATAATATGTAACCCTATGATACTTAGGGTATAAACATGCACTGCCAGCCCTCCTTCCTTGGCAGGATGACTCCCCAATTTATGCTTCAAATTTGTGATGTTTAGATCTGTTGTGTAAAACTGGTCTGTATATCAGACTAAAAAATAATATTTTACTGAAACGTCAGTCTTGAAACTTTGACCTTATCAAATTTTAACATTAAATAAAATTATATAAAATATGCCCCTATTTACCTTCATAAAGCCCATGGTGCTATTTGACAGTAGCTGTGTGTGTGAAATAGAGTGATACTGAACAGTATATGAATTTTTAGAGGGTTCTCTTTTTAGTTAGTTTTGAGAATAGAATGAAATTGAATTGCTATAAAAATAAGAAATGAACAGGAAAAAATAAAGGTGTTATATCACTTGCATTAAAAAGTTTTTCAAATCCCCACAAAAATGTGAACTATCATAATAAAAACAGCCTTCTCAGTAAATTGATTTTTTTATCATTATTATTTTCAATAGATGACATTGTTTTGTTGTCAACAGGGACAGGTATCAGTCTGCCTTCCTCTAGTAATTCCAGTGCTGGTCCATCATCTCCAACATCAGGATCGACACCAGTCGACCTTGTCAGTCAGCTCCGCCTCTACATCAAGGAGATAGATTCTGGCCAATCAGAAATGTTGACTGGCCAATCAGAAACAGACACTAGCCAATCAAATGAACCGACAGAAAATAAAACTGATAAGCCTTGTCATGTAGCTCCCAACACTGAAGGAAGTAAGTCTGGAGATCAGTACACTGGAAACAGATTCAAAGTCAGTCAAACAGAGCAAGGAGCTGTTCCAGCAAGATGTGAAAACACCCAATCAGAACTCACCATTCCTCAAACAAACTGTCAGTCAGACCAGGCTACATCTGAAGGACGGGAAAAAAGTTCTGACTCAAAATCAAAACAGACAGATGTAGGAGAATTACAGAAGGATAATGCTCCCACGTGTGAAAATGACACTGATATAAAAGATATTGAAACAAAAACAAAATTAAAAAGTGATAAATTTGTGATAGATAGTGTAACTGATGAAAGCCACTGTTGTAAATAATGATGCAGCCATTGTTTTATATTGACACTAAATTTACCTGTAATGATGTTTACATGTATTTACATGTTACATGTATTTACATGTAATGTTCCATCCATGGAAGGAGCAGCTCCAGGTAATGATGACAGAAAATGTTTCTTTCTTTGTAAATGTTTTAGTAATCTCCACAAAACCTGTTTGCATATTAAATTGGGCTTCGTATGTCCATATATTCATCAGCTTTAGCCAAACCACAGCTGTTACTACTCTAATTAAACCTTGTACACAAATCATACTAGTCCACCATAGCAATGTCTAGTCTGCTTCAAAAGAATCTCTGGTTTGAAATCACTTTCATAAAACTAGTCAAAACTACATAAATAAATTTTCATTTTAAAGATGCCTTACATGAAGTAAAATTGTGACACTTTTGGCGATATTTTTGTCTCGATGACAGACAAAACATCAACTTTTTGGTTTCTGATCTACTCTACCCAGAAAACAATCATATTAATTGAAGATATCTCAATGTACTACAGGTATAACTCCTTTATATGTGAAGCAAAACTCAAATCAATGGGGAAAAATTACTTCAGATTTTCTGCATATGTTTATAAGCTTCTACTAATAATTGCTGGTGGAAATTGTGGTAACTCCAAGTAATGACCTAGGTAACCTCAGGTGAAGATCGGAGGTGTGTGGTTCAACATTCATGGTGGTTTGTGTTTCTCGTGACACTGATAAACAGATATGTCTGGTCTTGTGGATATGTCTTGGCCAAGACTTCATACCCCGATTGCTTTGGATGGTATGCAAAAGAACTCCTGTATGGCTTGAGATAGCTGCACCAAGGAAAACCCACATCAAAACTATCATTGCTGTTCATGATTTGGTAAAAAAACATGTTGTATTGCTGTTGTAACGTTAATAGATGAGGACATGCATTCGTGACCATTTGATTGGCACTGGAGATGAGCGGGTTTTTCCCTAGCTAGAGATTGGGACAGAGAAATCTCTGGAGTAGGAGATTTTTGATTGTCTAACCTGAAGCTTTGCCAATACTTAGTCTGGCTTTGCCAATACTTAGTCTGGCTTTGCCAACACTTAGTCTGGCTTTGCCAACACTTAGTCTGGCTTTGCCAACACTTAGTCTGGCTTTGCCAACACTTAGTCTGGCTTTGCCAATACTTAGTCTGGCTTTGCCAATGCTTAGTCTATAAAGAATCTCCTCCTTCTCTGTCCTACCCTAAAGGGAGGCAATTCTCCTTTTTCTACCCCTTTCCCCCCTTTAAAAGTAAATACTGTAAAATAAGAAATTTTAGTGCTCATTTAATATTAGAGATTTTTGTGTATAGCCATCAAAGTGCTGGAGATGTGCCTACAAAATTTTGATGATGTTTGAAATAGATCAACAAAAATTGGAAACACAATTTTTTAAAACCAAGAATTTGTAAAACATTCCAGTAAAACAATGTCTGATGGCTTGGACAGTCTGTTACTTTTACGACACATCTATTATTCATGTCGTCTCTAATGGCTTCATTAGGAGCTCTTTGTTTTGTGTGATGGTGTCATGGGCTCACACAGACCACGCAGCATGAGTAGGTTTCAGCCCTGAAAGTCTTAAGTCAATGTTAGTTATGTCAGTGTCACCCTTTGTCATTCTGCTAAGGGAATGAAAAACAATACATACTACTACCTGTGAGTTGTAATCATTTATTCAGCATCTTTGTTGACCCATACCGAAAAACAAGTGAACTGACACGTTATAAACATAACATCGTTAACAATTACACAAACCTGAAATGTCACTTCCTGTGCCTGCAGGCTGTTTTGTTGGGTTAAGATATCATTCCCTAGTTCAGAAGTGTGGATATTTCTATCTGTAGAAAACATTATCTGGTTTTGTCATACTAAAGGATAATTTCATGAACTGTGTGGAGTTAGATTGTATGAAGTTTGAGAGACACAGTGATGGATGGAGAGAAGGAGGGATGTAGAGAGATGGAATATTGAGGTGTGAAACAGTTGGTAGAAAGATGTTATATATATAGTTTTGTGGATGCATGTCAGAAGTTTAATGGAAAATGAAACAGAGGTTGACAATGCCTCTTTCTGAATTGAAATGGAAATTTTTAATTTTATGACTGATGTGATGAAAGTTGCATTTTTTTAAATATTAAACAGTAAAGTATGTAAAATGGCTGTAATGATGAAAATGAAGGAATATTTACCATTTGATATATCAAAACATTTTTAACTTATGATCTACTGAGATATTGTATAAGTGTTTTATCAAATTTTGTATGTAGAGATTGGATAAAGGAGTTGTGTACTACATAGAGGGATATATGACCCTGTGTAAGTTAAGGAGACAGTATGTTATGTGTGAATTCAAAAGCAAGACGTATAGAACTGTTTAATACATTGTGATGTAAATTTCTAGATGAGTTGATCTCTTGTATATATCTATTATTGTCCACTGATAATAATTTTCACAAACCTTTGTTCAAGGAATAAAAATTAGAAATTACAAGAAATATTTTCAGTGGGATATAGAAGCCTTTTTCCGGTAGATCCAGTGTTTACACTGGGTATTTCATGGACAGGGTCCCTTTTCAGTTTAACTAGGGTCCTCCCGATAGTATGAATGGACTTCCTGAAGTATGAATGGACTTCCTGAAGTATGAATGGACTTCCTGAAGTATGAATGGACTTCCTGAAATTAAGTTGTATTCAAAAGGCTCTAGGAACACCTTATGGATGGTGAATGAGGGTTGGAAGGGAGGGGGTGTATTGAAGGACAAAATGGCCAAACATGATTTTCCTTGACAGTGTGGATAGAACTCAAGGCAGTATCACTGTGTATATATATCAATGGCTACTATATATACAGCCAACATGGCCGAGAATTAATATGGTTCATACTTTCCTAAAAGTATGATATACTGATCTGGTGCCAGTTTTGATAAGTGAAACTATTGTTGGGCTTCACTTTGAAGCACAGCCGTAGTATATGTCTGCATAATATCTATTCCCGTAATTATTGTTTATGGGGATACATTAATGAATTAATAAACTTAATGTACACAGAATGTGATATCAATGGTATGGCAGTAAGAAGTATGATTATCACAAATGCTTCAACAATGTTTTTTAAAGATTCTTGCATGATGTCCTGTTTTACAGAAAACAGATTAATCTAGATTCATAATATAATGTTGGTACGTTACCAAAGTGTAAATGATTGTTACAATGAAATATCAATCTCATTTATTAAAGAAATCTCTGAAATTTCGATGTTGGTGATATATTTATGTTTGGTAAGTTGTGTAATAATTTATGTGCCAGTCTGTCTGTAGCACAGAAATCTGTTGAATAAAATGTTATACAGAACCAACTGATTGTAATCTGGATTTATTTATATATATATATATATATGTCAAGAGTTATCTCCTTTGAACATTTGTTATAGATTTTTTTTTTTTTTGGCAATTGTATATTTGTCCAAACATGACAGCTACAACAACCAAAAGTCATTAGAAGTCTCCAAAACAGGCTTCATTAGCATGGTCAGCCTTAGCAACCACTGATAAAAATCTGAGATGAACGGTTCAGTATTCCATATAGAGGATGATTTGGGATTTCTCAGGAAATTGAGAGAGGGACCAATCTGACTTTAGAAAGACACTTTACCCTAATTGATCTGGATGGAATTTGGAAATAGACTTAAGATTTAACCAATCAATTAACACTGAAGATATATGTTGTAATCATTACTGTGTCAACTTATCTTTATTTTTATAATAGTCCTTGTCTCATGAGATCAATGACACGCAGGTTCTACAGCTCTAGTGAAACTTCTCAGTCTCCTTTAGCTTACACTTTTAATGGGAAATAGTATCCTTTGACGGGGCTTGAAGTTCTCTAGGTTGATGCCTTAACGCAAGAAGTTACTCTACATCTCATAAGAGTGAAGAGTGTCGTACAGATACAAAACCACTAAACTACCATTACAGATACAGACATTGGTAACAAAAAATGAATCAAACTACAAAATACCTCCAAATCCCAATGATCATTTATTAAAATAAGCCCCCAAAAATTGAAGTCTGTTAAAAAAAAGTGATCTTTCCAACCAATCAAATATCTAAACTGAAAAAAATTGGTTTATTACCGGTACTAACTTTATTTTCAAGTCTCGAAGCAAAATAAATAAAATAAAAAATAAATAAATAAATATTATGATTGTCTTAAATTGCAGGACGAAAATTCATATTTTGTATCAGATAACCCAGGTAAAACAAGGGCTTGTGTCAGATAACCCTGGTAAACAAGGGCTTGTGTCAGATAACCCATGTAAAACAAGGGCTTGTGTCAGATAACCCTGGTAAACAAGGGCTTGTGTCAGATAACCCTGTTAAAACAAGGGCTTGTGTCAGATAACCCTGTTAAAACAAGGGCTTGTGTCAGATAACCCTGGTAAAACAAGGGCTTGTGTCAGATTACCCTGGTAAAACAAGGGCTTGTGTCAGATAACACTGGTAAAACAAGGGCTTGTGTCAGATTACCCTGGTAAAACAAGGGCTTGTGTCAGATAACCCTGTTAAAGCAAGGATTGTGTCAGATAACCCTGGTAAAACAAGGGGTTGTGTCAGATAACCCTGATAAAACAAGGGCTTGTGTCAGATCACCGAGGTAAAACAAGGGCTTTTGTCAGATTACCCTGGTAAACAAGGGCTTGTATCAGAATATCCTGGTAAACAAGGGCTTGTGTCAGATAACCCTGGTAAAACAAGGGCTTGTGTCAGATAACCCTGGTAAAACAAGGGCTTGTGTCAGATAACCCTGGTAAAACAAGGGCTTGTGTCAGATAACCCTGGTAAAACAAGGGCTTGTGTCAGATAACACTGGAAAAGCAAGGGTTTGTGTCAGATAACCCTGGTAAAACAAGGGCTTGTGTCAGATAACCCTGGTAAAACAAGGGCTTGTGTCAGATAACCCTGGTAAAGCAAGGGCTTGTGTCAGATAACCCTGTTAAAACAAGGGCTTGTGTCAGATAACCCTGTTAAAACAAGGGCTTGTGTCAGATAACCCTGGTAAAACAAGGGCTTGTGTCAGATTACTGGTAAAACAAGGGCCTGATAAAACAAGGGCTGTCAGATAACCCTGTTAAAGCAAGGATTGTGTCAGATAACCCTGTCAGATAACCCTGATAAAACAAGGGCTTTGTGTCAGAAAACACTGGTAAACAAGGGCTTGTATCAGAATATACTGGTAAACAAGGGCTTGTGTCAGATAACCCTGGTAAAACAAGGGCTTGTGTCAGATAACCCTGGTAAAACAAGGGCTTGTGTCAGATAACCCTGGTAAAAAACAAGGTAAACAAGGGCTTGTGTCAGATAACCCTGTTAAAGCAAGGATTGTGTCAGATAACCCTGGTAAAACCTTGTGTCAGATAACCCTGATAAAACAAGGGCTTGTGTCAGATCACCGAGGTAAAACAAGGGCTTTTGTCAGATTACCCTGGTAAACAAGGGCTTGTATCAGAATATCCTGGTAAACAAGGGCTTGTGTCAGATAACCCTGGTAAAACAAGGGCTTGTGTCAGATAACCCTGGTAAAACAAGGGCTTGTGTCAGATAACCCTGGTAAAACAAGGGCTTGTGTCAGATAACCCTGGTAAAACAAGGGCTTGTGTCAGATAACACTGGAAAAGCAAGGGTTTGTGTCAGATAACCCTGGTAAAACAAGGGCTTGTGTCAGATAACCCTGGTAAAACAAGGGCTTGTGTCAGATAACCCTGGTAAAGCAAGGGCTTGTGTCAGATAACACTGGAAAAACAAGGGCTTTTGTCAGATTACCCTGATAAAACAAGGGCTTTTTTCAGATTACCCTGGTAAAACAAGGGCTTTTGTCAGATAACACTGGTAAACAAGGGCTTGTATCAGAATATCCTGGTAAACAAGGGCTTGTGTCAGATAACCCTGGTAAAACAAGGGCTTTTGTCAGATTACCCAGGTAAAACAAGGGCTTGTGTCAGATAACCCTGGTAAAACAAGGCCTTTGTCAGATAACCCTGTTAAAACAAGGGCTTGTGTCAGATAACCCTGTTAAAACAAGGGCTTGTGTCAGATAACCCTGGTAAAACAAGGGCTTGTGTCAGATTACCCTGGTAAAACAAGGGCTTGTGTCAGATAACACTGGTAAACAAGGGCTTGTGTCAGATAACCCTGTTAAAGCAAGGATTGTGTCAGATAACCCTGGTAAAACAAGGGCTTGTGTCAGATAACCCTGATAAAACAAGGGCTTGTGTCAGATCACCGAGGTAAAACAAGGGCTTTTGTCAGATTACCCTGGTAAACAAGGGCTTGTATCAGAATATCCTGGTAAACAAGGGCTTGTGTCAGATTACCCAGGTAAAACAAGGGCTTGTGTCAGATTACCCGGTTAAGACAAGGATTGTGTCAGATAACCCTGGTAAAACAAGGCCTTTTGTCAGATAACCCTGGTAAAACAAGGACTTGTGTCAGATAACACTGGAAAAGCAAGGGCTTGTGTCAGATAACCCATGTAAAACAAGGGCTTGTGTCAGATTACCCATGTAAAACAAGGGCTTATGTCAGATTACCCAGGTAAAACAAGGGCTTTTGTCAGATTACCCAGGTAAAACAAGGGCTTGTGTCAGATAACCCTGGTAAACAAGGGCTTGTGTCAGATTACCCAGGTAAGACAAGGGCTTTTGTCAAGATTATCCTGGTAAAACAAGGGCTTTTGTCAGATTACCCAGGTAAAACAAGGGCTTTTGTCAGATTACCCAGGTAAAACAAGGGCTTTTGTCAGATTACCCAGGTAAAACAAGGGCTTGTGTCAGATAACCCTGGTAAACAAGGGCTTGTATTAGAATATCCTGGTAAACAAGGGCTTGTGTCAGATAACCCTGGTAAAACAAGGGCTTTTGTCAAAATTATCCTGGTAAAACAAGGGCTTTTGTCAGATTACCCAGGTAAAACAATGGCTTTTGTCAGATTACCCAGGTAAAACAAGGGCTTTTGTCAGATTACCCAGGCAAAACAAGGGCTTGTGTCAGATAACCCTGGTAAACAAGGGCTTGTATTAGAATATCCTGGTAAACAAGGGCTTGTGTCAGATAACCCTGGTAAAACAAGGGCTTTTGTCAGATTACCCAGGTAAAACAAGGGCTTGTGTCAGATAACCCTGGTAAAACAAGGGCTTTTGTCAAAATTATCCTGGTAAAACAAGGGCTTTTGTCAGATTACCCAGGTAAAACAATGGCTTTTGTCAGATTACCCAGGTAAAACAAGGGCTTTTGTCAGATTACCCAGGCAAAACAAGGGCTTGTGTCAGATAACCCTGGTAAACAAGGGCTTGTATTAGAATATCCTGGTAAACAAGGGCTTGTGTCAGATAACCCTGGTAAACAAGGGCTTGTGTCAGATAACCCTGGTAAAACAAGGGCTTGTGTCAGATAACCCTGGTAAAACAAGGGCTTTTGTCAGATTACCCAGGTAAAACAAGGGCTTTTGTCAGATTACCCTGGTAAAACAAGGGCTTTTGTCAGATTACCCAGGTAAGACAAAGGCTTGTGTCAAATTACCCTGGTCAAACAAGGGCTTGTGTCAGATTATCCTGGTAAAAGGGGGCTCGAGACAGATTACCCTGGTTCATGTATGGCTTGTCACATGCCTTTCCTGTGGGTCACTAGCTAAATATACACATCATGTCTGTGTGTCACATAATTGTATGAATGACTAGCCATATACAGCTGGTGTTATACAGCTATCACATGATCTTATAGTGTGCATGGTTTACTGTATACTGAAGCATGACTCACTTTCTCTGTTCTGTCTGAGGTAAAATTGAGTCTATACTGTACTGTCAGGGTTTACTGTATAATGAAGCATGACTCACTGTCTCTGTTTTGTCTGAGGTAAAATTGAGTCTGGGTCAACTGTACTGTAAGGGTTTACTGTATACTGAAACATGACTCGCTTTCTTTGTTTTGTCTGAGGTAAAATTGAGTCTGGGTAGACTGTGCTGTCAGGGTTTACTGTAAACTGAAACACGACTCATTTTATCTGTTTTGTCCGAGGTAAAATTGAGTCTGGGTACCCTAGTTCCTTTGTATCAATTTCCCCAGTATAAGATACATGCTTCAGTAAATGACTCTGTAGGTTCCCAGCCTGAATAAAACTATCGCCACAAAACCCACAATTGTAAGGCTTTTCACCCGTGTGTGTCATCCTATGTGCCCTCAAACCACTCGTCTCACTAAAGGCTTTCCCACATATGTCACATAAGTAAGGTTTTTCACCTGTGTGAATACGAATATGTTTCTTAACTGACCCGGATTCACTAAATTCTTTTCCACAGATATTACATTTGAATGGTTTTTCACCTGTGTGTACCCTTTTGTGTTTCTTCACAGAGCCTATCTCGCTGAAACCTTTTCCACAAATATCACAATGGAAAGGTTTTTCTCCAGTATGGACTCGGATATGTTTCTGTAAATTTCCAGCACTGGTTGACCCCTTCCCACAAATTGTACACTTGAATGGTTTCTCAGCTGTCTTTGTATGTGTTTTCTTGTGATTTCTAACATGTCCTATTTGTCCAAAATGTCTCCCACATATATCACAGGGGAATGGTTTTTCACCCGTATGAGTCCTTTTGTGGTTCTGTAGAGTTCCTTGGTCTCCAAATTCTTTATCACATATATCACATTTGTATGGCCTGTCTCCGGTATGTATAAGTGTGTGTCTTCGTAAAGAAACAGCTTGATTGAAGGCTTTACCACAGAGGTCACACTTGTGGGGACGTTCATCTCTGTGGGACTTCATATGTACCTTCAAAATTTTATCAGTTTTTAATTTTTTGCCACATAATTCACAAGTATGACTGCTGCTATGCATAAGGACATGTTTTCTATAGTACACCGCTATAGTAAAACCCTTGCCACACACATCACAAATATAAGTCTTTTCCTTGTGGGATCTCATATGATTGACCAAACTTCTAGATGAAGTATACTCTGTCAAACACACCTCACATTTATGTCGATATTCTATTTTGTGTATTCTGAAATGGATTTGTAATTTCTGTTTTGTATTGAAACACTCCTTGCAGTTTTTACATTGATAGGATTTATCGAGCGTGCTGGTGTCTGAAGACACACAGATGTCGTCCGTGCTGTCACCTGTAGATGTATCGTGGTCCACCTCACCTGTAATAAGAAGATAACAGTTTGGAATTAGTCTCCATGAATTCTAATGGTCCTATAAATTGTTTGCTGGTCCACTGGATTTTTTCACTCTGTGGACAGCCAGGGTCATTTTGAGGTGGGGTCTCTTTGAAGTAGGAAGTGGATACTTCACTGAACAAGATATGAGAGGACCGTTGCAAGCCATCCTGGGCAATTAGAGCAAAGCACTATATAAGTGTCATGCTTAAGGACACAACCATGTCAGTACAGATCAGTCCCTCTCTCAGCTTCCTTAAAAGTACAAACCACCATGGGAAGGTATCAAACCATTCACCTTGAATCTTCACTTGAGGTTTTGTAAGCCAAACCCTCTACAGACTGAGTCACTGCTGCCCCCTCTAACAGTCTTGACACATGGTGAGGAAAAGACAGAACATACATGTAGAAAAGTTTTCAAATTTATCACCCTGAAGCACTCAAATATTTAAAAATCTGAATAATTTTGAAGTGGAAATACAGTTGTCTCAAAAAGAATAAGGGGCCAGGACAGTTCAGTCAAAAGAGCACCAACACTTCAAAGAAGATCCAAGGTTTGGGTTTCTTAGTTGTACTTGTGTCCTTCTGCATGACACTTTATATAAGTTATCCCAATAACATTTTTTATGGAATTAGATGGGCCTACTGCATGTTGTTCAGTCAGGTAGCCACCGACTTCAGGAACATGCTGCCTCAAAATTACCTGTTGATGGTGTATAACCCAGCCAAACTATATGCAACAAACCAATCATTCTGAATTAAAAATTCCGCAACAAGCTCGCCCATCTCCCTACTTTGATCACTAGTTATGAAGTTTGGTACATGTAGGGACCAAGTTCCTGATTTATAGTCTAGACTTTCATATTTCAAACAGATATTCTTTGAGAAATATTTTCCATAGTTACACAGATATTATTTCCCTACATTTACAAATTTCTAGTTGTACACAAACATGTATGTTTCTCTATGTTTAGAAGAATTTGTCTTCTTGGAATTTCCTGATGATGGAAAGCGAAACAACATTTTAATCATAATAAGAAAATTTCATTTGCCAAACTTGTTCACGTTGTTATTAAGTCTCGTAGACAGTTTTGGATATACATGTATGCTAGAATGAATTATGGTAGGTAAGGGATATTTCTCAGAATTTGTGTTGTATATATCAAGTACTATTTCCAATTGAAGTTATAAAAATAAATCAATACTGAAGATGTTTTGAATGATTACAAATTCCCCTGACAAAAATATCAGTCAAATATCCACCATATATCTGCCATTTTCCTACACAATATGTCTAATTCTGAGGACATGAAGGACATTATTTTGACAGGTTCACAACTGTAACATATACCCTGGTAATATGTGCCTTTGGTTGGGTGTGAGATGACAATATATATTACCATTACTGTATTGAGTAGTCTCTGGATACCGACTCCTCTGATCAATATCATCAGTAGAAGTATTTGGAGAATCTGACGAGTTATATATGTACATCTGTGGATTGTTGATGTCATTGGAGCTTGAAGATGATAAATTTTCTGGAACATCGTCTTCCTGTTTGATGTGATGATACATGCTGTGCATAACACTCTTGTCCCCGACTGGGTGTTTGTCTTCCATTTCAGATTGTTCCTCCGTCTTTGTTTGGTTCTCTACCCTTGAATCAACCTCCGCCTCCGTTTGGACCTCCATTTTGATTGGTCGAAATTCAATGCTGGTTTTGTAATCCATCCTTGATCAGCCCTGAATCTTAGATCATTTTCTATCTTAGGAAAGATTTTGGGGATCAGTCATCTTGGTTTTGTCAATCCATCTTGATTCTGAAATAAACAAATCATATAGTCAGCCATTATACATTTTCCACAAGTAAATAGGGATTGAATCTGTGATCTCCTGCTTGCTAGTCTTATGCTCAACTACTTGACCTAACAAGATTTTTCAAACCAAGTGGTATATTGTTACTAATCAATCAATTAATCAATTAACCAATAAAAAAAATCTCAAAATTCAAGGAATTACAGTGATGCAATCAGGGGCAATGATACATTGTATATCAATTATTTCAAATCTCTACTTTTTTCCCAAACACTGTCTCAAAATTGTATTTATATTGACAATAACATACAATCTGATAACTGTTCTACAGCTTCCCTTGTCACATTGTTGTGCATTGTATATTTTTTGAAGGATCTGAAAAACAAAACGGCCAACTGTCATCTTGGATTTAGACTTGTTAATGCCTGAGAAGCAGAGACATGAGTATGGACCCTTCTCACATTTTATTTATAAGTTCCTGTTGGTCCGTAGCTTTGTACTAAGCATTTTGAGACTGGATCAAAAAACATCTTCAGATACCAAATACAGATCACAGGATGTCCAATGGATGCAAAGATCCTTTTTTTTAATCTAAAATATCTGAAAATATAGCTTAAGATATCACTAATATGATATTAGTATAATATTAATAAGCAGATTGTCCTGAAAGTGATAGGTAATTACTTTTCACAGACATGTACACATAAACAAGCTCAGTGCTCTAAGCTTATGATTAAGAAATTAGCCTCGTCCTTTAGTACATGTGAACAACAGCAGTGACCTATACACAGTACTGATACTGATACCTGATCTCAACCTAAACCAACTGAACACACGTCACAATATAACAACATCTTAATGCTGTCAGGGCAATGCAATATTGGCTTAAAGCTAATGCGATGTAGATCACTGGTATTTAGGCGCCAACAGTTGAAGACGCATGTACAAAATTACAAAAAAGTTGAGAACTTACGCAAGCTCTAGATATGTTATAAACGTGGTGATTTCAATTTTCCTACTGTGAACTTTCTATTTCTGGAGAGCATCCTTGAATCTCCAACCTATGGTTTGAACATGTCACAGTTGATTCGATATTTAAGGACCTGTTTCAATCAACACAATTTTTATGCAAGATGTCAACTTATAACACTGGGAATAAAAAAAGATGGAGATGATGGGGATGTTTTACGATCAACACAAAGACCTCACTGGGAAATATCATATTTTATTGTGCGATATCAAGTGACATGAATTACTTGGATGGACTAAGATGTTAGACATCCTCAAGAAAACAAACAACATTTACCCTTCTAAACTTTTCTGGCCTTATTTTGTCTCCATGTAGGCTTTTCTTTTGTTCATAGTTTGCCCTAGTTTTATTGAAACTGAATTTGGATTACGATGCTGTTTTCTTGTGACGTTGATATTTTCTTGTTTTTCTGTTTCTGTTTTCATTGGTCTCACGTTTGGTCAATAGAAATTCCAACATGCCTGATACAGATAGGGTTATATCCTTGGCACATTGGTTTGGGACCCCTTAAGAACCATTTTCTGCTAGCATACATACATTAATTCAAATACGTTCATACCATAGGATTTATTTAAAAACTGATCAGTGAAACACCTGTATTTTTTCTCCAAAAGATATCTGCAAATCCAACCTCAACTTTGTTCATCTGAAATGATCAACATGTGACTGCAAATCTGTTTCTGATGACCCCCCCAAAAAACTAAGAGATGTTTAAAATAGCTTACAGTGACCACCGAAGTGTAAATGTTTTACATAAAATTATAATATGAACAGGAATGACATTCTGAGGATGCAAAAAAAAAAAAACAAAACAAAATAAAATAATGGTGTGAAAATGGTGGATATTTGTGTTGATGGTGCATCTTTCCAAAATGGTTGGATTCAATTTTTTATTATTTTTTTTTTTTATATTTTTTTTCTTCTTTTTTATAACACAAATTATTTGAATGAAGTTAATTTTTCATCTGTCTCTTTACAATTTGCTAGTTAATTCAAACTAGAAATGAGTCATCGAAAGTGATAACTTAGAAATTATAATTTTTTTTCGATATAAAACGTCCTTGTTTGGACTTTCATAACCAAAAAATTGCAGAAAGGTGTGGCCTATAAATATTCCTGATCGATTTTTATTCACTGGGATGGCGACAAAAAGATACTGGTGGATGGTTTTAATCACAAATTTTCATTCTTTCTGGAAGACTAACAGTTTATAGCAATCAAAATTATCCAGGTGCGATGTCAAGCAGGTCAATAGTTCAAGTGATAAGATTCGACAAATTGGCCGTTCCGAAATACATAACGGTCCGAAACCGATGTCTCGACAAGTACGAAGAGACTAATGTTCGTGTGTGAAGATCAATGAAAATACACATCCCTGTCAAGTGCCTTGCCAAGGAATCGATCCGGTGTGGTAATCGACCACCAGTGCTATCAGCTGAGCCAAGGAAGCATGCTCTGTACAAGTCACACTGACCCGCCCCTTTTACAGACACCTGTAAACTTCTTACAAGCGTGTATCCAATCTGTGAAGCACATACCTACATATTCCGTTAAATAAGACACGATCCTCAAAACTATGTGCACCATTACGCTTAGTCCCATAAAACTACCATCACGATTTCTCCACATGTAAATGCACTGTGTCGATCAAAAGACGGCCATTTTGAATATGTTTGGTAACATAAAAGACGCAAAGGAATTAAAATAGAAACTCCAACCAACAAGATTGGATATCGCCAACTCTAAAGTCGAACATGGTTTAGTTTAAAATTGCCTATTCTCTTTAAAACTGCTAGTCGCCCCGAGGAGCGTTTTTACATATTTCCGACACATAACCATTAAACTTGAAAAAACAATACATGTCTAAAATAGCGAATATGTTAATAAGACGAAGTATTTGCATAACTATGTAAAACTCACAAAAGAAATAAAGTATATCATTGATGAAACACATTTAACATAAGATACCGGAGTATCGAGCCCTGAGGGACGCTTTGACTAATTCCCAACTGGAGCTCCATGTAGTAAAAGAGTCCAGTTGATTCTGATGACCATTTTAAAGGAAGCCTTGAAGAAGTCTCTCAAAAACTACACAAAACCCACTGGCAGCGATTTAGGCAGACGCGCAATTCATTTACTGGTACAATTATAAAACCAAAACGTGACTATATTTCAAACTTAACCGATAAAATTAAATGTACGTTTACGTATATACGGTATTGGTGGAAACTGATAAATACATTTACAAACTTATAAACAAAAAGTTCTAATGTACCTGCTCTGACACATGATGATCAAACTATATGTACACAATAAACAGAACTATTCAACCACTTTATAAGTCAGTCTACTATTGATGTTACAATTACCACTTTATAAGTCAGTCTACTATCGATGACTCTAATAACACATTACCCGATTTTTTTTTTCAAAACATTTTCTTTTGTGCTAAATGCTGTCAGGATTTACAACCGGCGGGGATCCTGCATCTAACCAGCTTCTAGACGTTACTAACGATATTGGGAGGGCTTTAGATGCGATTAAGGAAATTATAGCTGTTTTTTTTGTGATATAAGTGAAGCGTTCGATCGGATTTGGCACAGGGGTCTTATACATAAATCGGAAGTAGACGGTATTTCTGGTAAATTATCACCTTGGTGTGAAAATTATTTATCTGTCAAAAATAGAAGAGAAAAAACGTTGTAAATAGTTATACTTCAGATTAAAAAAGTATCACAGCAGGTGTACCTAAAGGTTCAATTTTAGGCCCTATTTTTTCCTTAGTTTATATTAATGATATAGTGGACGATGTTGATTGTAATATAAAACTGTTTGCCGATGACACGTCCTTATCTATAATATGTCGTCGGAAACCTAACTATCGCCGTCAATACTATTAATAATGATCTTATGAAAATACATAATTAGGCAAGTAACTGGCTGGTTAAATTCAACCCAAACAAAACAGAATCTTTATTAAGAAGAAGAAAAAATACAATCCTATAATAATGGACAACATCAATATAAGTTCCCATAGACATTTAGGGATATGGCTGTCAGATAGTGGTACATGGAATACCCAGATTGACTACATATTGAAAAAGTGTTACAAACATTAGCTGTATCAAGAAGTCTTAAAATACTCTCGATTGAAATTTTCTTCAAACAATATATTTTGCATAAAGTAGGCCTATACTAGAATATTCTGCTATTGTCTGGGATAATTTACCAAGCTGCCTAAGTCAAAATTTAGAAAACACCCAGATTGAAACTGCGAGAATTGTTACGTGTTCTACAAAATTGTCAAGTATAAGTTTACTTTATAGAGATGTGGACTGGTAAAAATTATCTAAACGACGGGACATCCATAAAATCTTACAGTGTTACAAAATGTATCACGAGAAAACACCACTGTACTTGACTACTTCAGTCCCAGACAAAGTATCCGATCGTCATATTACAGGAAACTCAAATAATCTACATTCAGTTACCTGTGAGACCTGGCCCCACTTGTATAAAACATCTCAACTTGAGATTTCCTCAAGTCGAGATTTTCCTCAGCTAATATCTCCTTGAAAATATCTTGTATGAAAATTCCTCAAGGAATTTCAGGACATCCTAGCCGAGGACTTCCTCCTGTTCCTTGAGAAATTTTTATACAAGCCGTTTTTGAGGAGATATCAGCTGAGGAAAATCTCGACTTGAGGAAATCTCAAGTTGAGATGTTTTATACAAGTGGGGTCTGTTATGCAAAGATTCATTTTTTGAATTCCTCAATACAATTACGGAACGCTTCACCAGAAGACATTAGTGAGAATCCGTCTCTTAATGAATTCAAAAGTTTATTTACAAAAAGATAAGGTAGTAGTCCCTCGTTACTTTAATATTGGTGGCAAACTCCTTCAAATATTACATGCACGATTACGACTTACTGTAGTAATTTAAAACAGCGGCCTCATATTAGAAATCTACAGGAAAGTTCACTGTGGTAGTTACGTCTCGGTGGATGTAGTGTCCATTTCTTTTCATCATGCAGTAATTATACCGCAGTCAGACATAATACAATACTACAACTAGATATAAATCTTACTGAAGCAAATCTTCTGTGGGGAAATGATCATTAGACAAAAATGGAAGACATTTTGTTAACTATTCAAAGTTGTATGAAATTAAGTAAGAGTTTTGATTAATTCAGTCTTATACTTTTTGTTGTGAGTATTTATTTCTGTGGAATCTACTGTAATAACAGCCAATTTTCGATACACGTTACTCGATACCATTACATATTGTAATTTGAACTTAGCCACAAATATCAATTACGACGTTATATACTTTGTATATAAAATGCATTCTACAGTTTATCCTATTCGCCACGTGTATAACTTATGTCGAATTGTTGAGTCTAATATTGTTATCCACAATATGATTTGCGCAAGGGTTCCAAGACCTGAAGTCCCATTTGGTGTTGTATGTGCTTGGGAAAGGAATTAACATAAGCTCGTACCTTGTGTTCCGGTCCCAAAATACAAAATATATGTTTATTTCTATGTTATATTGAATATAAATATTGTTTGAAGTATGGAGCCCATTTGTGCTCTCACACAATACCTCTATGACTTACTTACTAATGGGGTTTACGTCCAGTATAAAAGCGAACGAGGAAAGATACAAAAACGAGTAGAGAGCAAATAGTGTAAAGCGATGGTATAGAGAAAGAGTGAGATACAGTGATAGGGTAGAGGTAGGGTGGCCGTCTATACTACCAAGTCTGTTTTTAACTACAATTTTGAAGATGAAGAAGATGAATGGGATCCTAAACTAAGCAAAGTTCTGTATGTTTATAAAATTTCGGAAGTCCATCAAAATTACATAATAGATTGTTTCTGTTGCTAATCTAACCTTTGGATCGACATTGTCATTTCTGCTATTTTACGAAGAACTACAGGGGGATCTTTATTCGTGTGAGTTGGACATTCTCACAAGAGCCACCATTTTAAGTCCCGTCCGACGGACTGTGTTTTAGTGGTCACTTGTTAGTTAGGCGCTGGTGCTGATATATTTTTGGTATCCATATCTACTTTTCCTTCTATCTCTGTCTGTCACTTTGAAAGTGTTTGCTTTAACAATGTCCATACTTTCTGTTTTTCCACACCGGCCCTGACATCACGTACCTGTCCGCTTTAACAATGTCCATACTTTCTGTTTTTTCACACCGTCCCTGACATCACGTACCTGTTCACTTTAACATTGTCTATACTTTCTGTTTTTCCACACCGTCCCTGACATCACGTACCTGCCCGCTTTAACAATGTCCATACTATCTGTTTTTCGACTCAGTCCCTGATATCACGTACCTGCCCGCTTTAACAATGTCCATACTTTCTATTTTTTTCACACAGTCCCTGACATCACGTTCCTGTCCGCTTTAACAATGTCCATACTTTCTGTTTTTCCACACCGGCTGGGGGGAGGGGGTATTTGTCAAGCTGAAAAGTGTCGAGGCTGAGGTTGGCCAACAATCCGTTGTCCGACATAAAAAAAAGAAGTGTTGAATTCTAATCGCTTTTGTAGTGACAGATATATTGTACAAAAATTCCTTACATAAACGAGCTGTTCAAACCTATTTTGACATGAATGGTATTGGCCATTGTGAAATAATGTACATCAATAAGGTAACTGTACCCATACATAATTTATAAATCAGAACAACACTGTTTATCAATCAGAACAACACTGTTTATCAATCAGAACAACACTGTTTATAAATCAGAACAAATCAGAACAACACTGTTTATAAATCAGAACAACACTGTTTATAAATCAGAACAACACTGTTTATAAATCAGAACAACACTGTTTATAAATCAGAACAAATCAGAACAACACTGTTTATAAATCAGAACAAATCAGAACAACACTGTTTATAAATCAAATCAGAACAACACTGTTTATAAATCAGAACAACACTGTTTATAAATCAGAACAACACTGTTTATAAATCAGAACAACACTGTTTATAAATCAGAACAACACTGTTTATAAATCAGAACAACACTGTTTATAAATCAGAACAACACTGTTTATAAATCAGAACAAATCAGAACAACACTGTTTATAAATCAGAACAAATCAGAACAACACTGTTTATAAATCAGAACAAATCAGAACAACACTGTTTATAAATCAGAACAACACTGTTTATAAATCAGAACAACACTGTTTATAAATCAGAACAACACTGTTTATAAATCAGAACAACACTGTTTATAAATCAGAACAACACTGTTTATAAATCAGAACAACACTGTTTATAAATCAGAACAACACTGTTTATAAATCAGAACAACACTGTTTATAAATCAGAACAACACTGTTTATAAATCAGAACAAATCAGAACAACACTGTTTATAAATCAGAACAACACTGTTTATAAATCAGAACAACAGAACAACACTGTTTATAAATCAGAACAACACTGTTTATAAATCAGAACAAATCAGAACAACACTGTTTATAAATTTATAAATCAGAACAACACTGTTTATAAATCAGAACAACACTGTTTATAAATCAACACTGTTTATAAATCAATCAGAACAACACTGTTTATAAATCAGAACAACACTGTTTATAAATCAGAACAACACTGTTTATAAATCAGAACAACACTGTTTATAAATCAGAACAAATCAGAACAACACTGTTTATAAATCAGAACAAATCAGAACAACACTGTTTATAAATCAGAACAACACTGTTTATAAATCAGAACAAATCAGAACAACACTGTTTATAAATCAGAACAACACTGTTTATAAATCAGAACAACACTGTTTATAAATCAGAACAACACTGTTTATAAATCAGAACAACACTGTTTATAAATCAGAACAACACTGTTTATAAATCAGAACAAATCAGAACAACACTGTTTATAAATCAGAACAAATCAGAACAACACTGTTTATAAATCAGAACAACACTGTTTATAAATCAGAACAACACTGTTTATAAATCAGAACAAACTGTTTATAAATCAGAACAAACACACACTGTTTATAAATCAGAACACTGTTTATAAATCAGAACAACACTGTTTTATAAATCAGAACAACACTGTTTATAAATCAGAACAACACTGTTTATAAATCAGAACAAATCAGAACAACACTGTTTATAAATCAGAACAAATCAGAACAACACTGTTTATAAATCAGAACAAATCAGAACAACACTGTTTATAAATCAGAACAACACTGTTTATAAATCAGAACAACACTGTTTATAAATCAGAACAAATCAGAACAACACTGTTTATAAATCAGAACAACACTGTTTATAAATCAGAACAAATCAGAACAACACTGTTTATAAATCAGAACAACACTGTTTATAAATCAGAACAACACTGTTTATAAATCAGAACAACACTGTTTATAAATCAGAACAACACTGTTTATAAATCAGAACAAATCAGAACAACACTGTTTATCGTTACTGCTTCAAAGTTTCTGTACTTAAAGTTGTGCACGTGGCTGTGTTCGGTTATGGGTTTGACCAGCACTTGTAAACTAAACAATATTACGGCTGTCCTTATTTGTAGTGGATTAAATGATAATGATAAATAATTACGATAAAAAAAACAATTCATTTGAAAAATACCTACTTTTTTTATTGTGAATAAAATATTATCTTATATCGATTTGTATTTATGTTGACAGAAGTGTTTCATTCCATTTTAATGGCCGACATTAATTCAACATTACAGCAAAACTCCACGATACATTCCGGAGATTGACCTTAGCTTTCTTTGTCGGCAATCAGTGATTCAGTGATTGAAAAAGGAAGATTTTTTTATCATATATTCTTTATTTTGAACACATTCTTCACGCACGGAATGGTGATATATTAAATAACTTTTCGGCTTGGCCTTGGCTGTTTTCTGCTGTACACTTGTAGGTACCGTAGTTTTCGTACGTAAACCCATTGATGTGTAAATCGTTACCGACCAAACTCAGGTTATCTGCTGCAGTAGTCTGAAATACAAGTATAAAAATGTATCGGGAATATTTACGTTAATGGTATGTTAGTCAGAAGAGTCAAAAACTGTGGCAGGGCACTTAATCTTGTGGATTTTTATTTAAGATTTATTGATATTTAAACATCACATAAAAATTCCATAATTCTTCGAATTCATGTTTATATATATTGATTCAGCAGGTTAAGATACTGACAAAACCCTGAGACAAACTCGAACAAGTATCGATATCATTACAGTATTGTGACCATGGTATATATACCTCTTACATCAGATCTGATATAACTAGAATATAATACGGTTCTAGATATTTGATGCCTTCATCGAGATATACATTCATGGTAATATGTTCTCGAGAGTGAATCACGATATCAATAATGGGGACACGATGGGTGTGGCAGTAGTATGTCTGTCTGTCTCTCTATCCGTCTGTCAGACGGTCTCTCTATCTGTCTGTCTGTCTGTTTGTAAGTCTCTCTCTCTGTCTGTCGATCTGTCTCTCTGTCTCTCTCTCTGTCGGTCTGTCTCTCTCCGCCTGTCTGTATATCTATATGTCTGTCTGTCAGGCTCTCTTTCTGGTCTATTCTGGTCTTGTCTGTCTGTCTGTCAGACTGTCTGTCTGGTCTTGTCTGCCTGTCTGTCTGCCTGTACATCTAGTTACTTGTAAGCTAATTATCTATATCTTCATCGTTAGCTGAAAAGCTTCACAGGGAACCCATCATAATGTTTAACAGTACAGATCTGGCGAAAAATAGTGGCAGTGTAACAACCAGACATCACCGATTATTCTGGAATATGAGAAGTGTGAATGATGTGTGTAAGTAAGAGAGCCCTTCTGTGTGAAGACATATTTGTAGTGTTACGTATGTCTTGTCTTGGTCAAGAAAACGTTTGTAGTTGAAAAAAGACAACTCCGATCACACGAACTACTAAGCCCTTTCTCGAGGACACTGTCATGTGAAAAATAACCGATTTTAATGTACAAGGTTCATTGTCATGTATTACTCATTTTAAGGGGGAAATATTTTTTTATTTTTTTACTTAATTTGACCAATCATAGTTCAAGCCTTTGAAATAAGAACAAATCAGTATAAACAAGTATATATGCGTAACTTACATAAGACAGAACCGCCCAGGAGATTGTGGGTTTGGGTTCACCTGACGCTCCACACTTTATTATAACATTGTCTCCGATACTTGCATGGTGTATAGCAGTGGCTGCGACAATCACGGGCTTCGATACTGTTAACAGAAGGACACAAATTGATACACAGGGCCCGATACTGTTAACAGAAGGACACAAATTGATACACAGGGCCCGATACTGTTAACAGATACAAGGTACACACAAATTGATACACAGGGCCCGATACTGTTAACAGAAGGACACAAATTGATACACAGGGCCCGATACTGTTAACAGAAGGTCACACATTGATACACAGGGCCCGATACTGTTAACAGAAGGACACAAATTGATACACAGGGCCCGATACTGTTAACAGAAGGACACAAATTGATACACAGGGCCCGATACTGTTAACAGAAGGACACACATTGATACACAGGGCCCGATACTGTTAACAGAAGGACACACATTGATACACAGGGCCCGATACTGTTAACAGAAGGACACACATTGATACACAGGGCCCGATACTGTTAACAGAAGGACACAAATTGATACACAGGGCCCGATACTGTTAACAGAAGGACACAAATTGATACACGGGGCCCGATACTGTTAACAGAAGGACACAAATTGATACACGGGGCCCGATACTGTTAACAGAAGGACACAAATTGATACACAGGGCCCGATACTGTTAACAGAAGGACACAAATTGATACACAGGGCCCGATACTGTTAACAGAAGGACACAAATTGATACACAGGGCCCGATACTGTTAACAAAACTACACAAATTGATACACAGGGCCCGATACTGTTAACAAAACGACACAAATTGATACACAGGGCCCGATACTGTTAACAGAAGGACACAAATTGATACACAGGGCCCGATACTGTTAACAGAAGGACACAAATTGATACACAGGGCCCGATACTGTTAACAGAAGGACACAAATTGATACACAGGGCCCGATACTGTTAACAGAAGGACACAAATTGATACACAGGGCCCGATACTGTTAACAGAAGGACACAAATTGATACACAGGGCCCGATACTGTTAACAGAAGGACACAAATTGATACACAGGGCCCGATACTGTTAACAGAAGTACACACATTGATACACAGGGCCCGATACTGTTAACAGAAGGACACAAATTGATACACACGATACTGTTAACAGGGACACCCGATACTGTTAACAGTTAACAGAAGGACAAATTGATACACAGGGCCCGATACTGTTAAAGGACACAAATTGATACACAGGGCCCGATACTGTTAACAGAAGGACACACAAATTGATACACAGGGCCCGAAGTACATACTGTTAACAGAGGACACAAATTGATACACAGGGCCCGATACTGTTAACAGAAGTACACACATTGATACACAGGGCCCGATACTGTTAACAGAAGGACACAAATTGATACACAGGGCCCGATACTGTTAACAGAAGGTCACACATTGATACACAGGGCCCGATACTGTTAACAGAAGGACACACATTGATACACAGGGCCCGATACTGTTAACAGAAGTACACACATTGATACACAGGGCCCGATACTGTTAACAGAAGGACACACATTGATACACAGGGCCCGATACTGTTAACAGAAGTACACACATTGATACACAGGGCCCGATACTGTTAACAGAAGGACACAAATTGATACACAGGGCCCGATACTGTTAACAGAAGTACACACATTGATACACAGGGCCCGATACTGTTAACAGAAGGACACAAATTGATACACAGGGCCCGATACTGTTAACAGAAGTACACAAATTGATACAAGGGCCCGATACTGTTAACAGAAAGACACAAATTGATACACAGGGCCCGATACTGACACACATTGATACACTGTTAACAGAAGGACACAATTGATACACAGGGCCCGATACTGTTAACAGAAGGACACACATTGATACACAGGGCCCGATACTGTTAACAGAAGGACACACATTGAACTGTTAACAGAAGGACACACATTGATACACAGGGCCCGATACTGTTAACAGATAAGATACTGTTAACACACATTGATACACAGGGCCCGATACTGTTAACAGAAGGACACAAATTGATACACAGGGCCCGATACTGTTAACAGAAGGACACACATTGATACACAGGGCCCGATACTGTTAACAGAAGGACACACATTGATACACAGGGCCCGATACTGTTAACAGAAGGACACACATTGATACACAGGGCCCGATACTGTTAACAGAAGGTACAACATTGAACTGTTAACAGAACACACATTGATACACAGGGCCCGATACTGTTAACAGAACTGTTAACAGACACACATTGATACACAGGGCCCGATACTGTTAACAGAAGGACACACATTGATACACAGGGCCCGATACTGTTACAACATTGATACACAGGGCCCATACTGTTAACAGAAACACACATTGATACACAGGGCCCGATACTGTTAACAGACACACATTGATACAAGGGCCCGATACTGTTAACACACACATTGATACACACACTGGGTACACACATTGATACACAGGGCCCGATACTGTTAACAGAAGGACACACATTGATACACAGGGCCCGATACTGTTAACAGAAGGACACACATTGATACACAGGGCCCGATACTGTTAACAGAAGTACACAAATTGATACAAGGGGCCCGATACTGTTAACAGAAGTACACAAATTGATACACAGGGCCCGATACTGTTAACAGAAGTACACAATTGATACACAGGGCCCGATACTGTTAACAGAAGGACACAAATTGATACACAGGGCCCGATACTGTTAACAGAAGTACACACATTGATACACAGGGCCCGATACTGTTAACAGAAGGATACAAATTGATACACAGGGCCCGATACTGTTAACAAAACGACAAAAATTGATACACAGGGCCCGATACTGTTAACAAAACGACAAAAATTGATACACAGGGCCCGATACTGTTAACAAAACGACACAAATTGATACACAGGGCCCGATACTGTTAACAGAAGTACACACATTGATACACAGGGCCCGATACTGTTAACAGAAGTACACACATTGATACACAGGGCCCGATACTGTTAAAAGAAGGACACACATTGATACACAGGGCCCGATACTGTTAACAGAAGTACACACATTGATACACAGGGCCCGATACTGTTAACAGAAGGACACACATTGATACACAGGGCCCGATACTGTTAACAGAAGGACACAAATTGATACACAGGGCCCGATACTGTTAACAGAAAGACACAAATTGATACACAGGGCCCGATACTGTTAACAGAAGGACACAAATTGATACACAGGGCCCGATACTGTTTAACAGTTAACAGAAGTACACACATTGATACACAGGGCCCGATACTGTTAACAGAAATACACACATTGATACACAGGGCCCGATACTGTTAACAGAAGGACACACATTGATACACAGGGCCCGATACTGTTAACAGAAGTACACACATTGATACACAGGGCCCGATACTGTTAACAGAAGTACACACATTGATACACAGGGCCCGATACTGTTAACAGAAGTACACACATTGATACACAGGGCCCGATACTGTTAACAGAAGGACACACATTGATACACAGGGCCCGATACTGTTAACAGAAGGTCACACATTGATACACAGGGCCCGATACTGTTAACAAAACGACAAAAATTGATACACAGGGCCCGATACTGTTAACAAAACGACAAAAATTGATACACAGGGCCCGATACTGTTAACAGAAGGACACAAATTGATACACAGGGCCCGATACTGTTAACAGAAGGACACACATTGATACACAGGGCCCGATACTGTTAACAGAAGGTCACACATTGATACACAGGGCCCGATACTGTTAACAGAAGGTCACACATTGATACACAGGGCCCGATACTGTTAACAGAAGGACACAAATTGATACACAGGGCCCGATACTGTTAACAGAAGGACACACATTGATACACAGGGCCCGATACTGTTAACAGAAGGTCACACATTGATACACAGGGCCCGATACTGTTAACAGAAGTACACACATTGATACACAGGGCCCGATACTGTTAACAGAAGTACACACATTGATACACAGGGCCCGATACTGTTAACAGAAGTACACACATTGATACACAGAATAGAATACTTTGATGGGTGGTTGTTTTAATCGTGTTTTACCTACGTGTCCAATGTACCCATATTTTACAAACTTCTCTCCTCACTTTGGTATATGTATCTCTGATATCATTACATATATACTGCAAATCAATTTTATTTCGCGTAGGATTTATTTTCGCGTCAATTGGAAATTGAAATCCCTCGGAATTTTTAATGAAAATACATGTAACAACTCTGGATGGTATCCATGTTTATTCCAGAATAGATAAAATAATCTCAAATCAAATTCTTAAACTCGTGTTAATTCCAATTCAGACATTTTCAGCACTAGTCAAAAGTAGAACAAAATGGCGACCTACATGAAGCCATTCGTTAACGATACGGGATTATTGTAGAGTCTAGGTCTCTAAGAGCTCATAATTCCCGAATTCATTGTCATTTCTAGATCAGGATTCACGAAATTCTGGAGATAAATAAAGTAGTCGCGAGATCTAAGTAATTTACAGTATATATTTACAATACTATGACGTTATATTGGCGCCACAGTTACAACGTTAAGTCAACGCTTCGCAGAAAACAAACAACCAGGATTGACATCAATCATTTAGATGACTATGATGCTCAGAAATCTCGTGCAATAATTAAACATACATGGAGGAAAACTTTTACAACTTGATAGAATAAACAGGGTAATATTTTCAGGTAATGTCTGCAGTATACATATAACCATTTCATAGTTATTAATGATATATAATGTTTATAACAAAAATACTAATGTCTCTGTATTATGTGGAATGATACATCAGATATATACCAATGTTAGATGTGACGTCATCAAAATAAATTTAATGTGAATTTAATACAACTTTTCTAGTAGTGTTGAAATGTTTTGAAAAAAGTATCGTTAAGACCTACCACACACTTACAATCATAAATAGACAAAAAGACAAAAGCACTACTTACGTGGTGGTAATGTAGTAGTTACCGGGGTGACCGTTGTGGAAGCTTCAGAATGCCAATGTAAATAAAAATTAAAAAAACTGTTCAGTTGGTGATAATGGATGAAATATATAAAACACACACACGTTATTAACACATCTTACTACAATTAAGACCTGTATCAAGTAGGAAATGGAAATTAAACTGTATCGTATGACTGTTTAGTCATTCTAGATCTCGTAAGTGACGTTGTTGATAGAATTTATGATGAAACCTGGTAGTGTAAGGAGAAAGTCAAGTACTTGTGTGTTTTTTAAACCATGCCCCTGTCTGAATGATTGCAGAGGCATAAATGTTTCGACAAACCTTGGTAGACATGGACACTCTCTACACTCTATCAGATCTATCATTATATTAGCAGTACAAAGTCAGTTGTAAGCAATATTGGGAGGGGGGGGTCGAGGACAAGAATAAAACACTTACCATGGATGACTGTGACTTTACTGGTTGTACCAACGTTGTTACTAGCTGTACAGATATACAGTCCAGCATTATCAGGTAGGAAGTGATCGATGTGAATTGAACGTCCATCATCCGAGATACGTGTGTTGTTTGGTGCTTTACCATTGATAACGAAATGCTTGAAAGGAAACACAAATAGAATAAACAGTGAAGTGATATAGATTAAAGAATAATGTGATGTTTATAAGTACATTAAAGGTTATTTCGGAACATTTACTTCAGTTTCAGGTTGATATAGTCAATAGAATAGAAAGTCTTATAACTTAGTAGAAGCTTTAAGTGTGACGTTTCGATAACTTCACGGTTTGGAGCGTACTAACACTGATAAAAGCCAGTGGTAATACGCTTCACACAGGTCACTTGTCTGATGAAGGTGACTGTGTAGTCATAGAAACGTCACACTCTAATCTTCTACCGGTTGTGTTATAAGATTAAGGTGACCGTGTAGTCATCAAAACGTCACACTCTAATCTTCTACTGGTTGTGTTATAAGATGAAGGTGACCGTGTAGTCATCAAAACGTCACACTCTAATCTTCTACTGGTTGTGTTATAAGATTAAGGTGACCGTGTAGTCATCAAAACGTCACACTCTAATCTTCTACCGGTTGTGTTATAAGATGAAGGTGACCGTGTAGTCATCAAAACGTCACACTCTAATCTTCTACTGGTTGTGTTATAAGACGAAGGGGGCCGTGTAGTCATAGAAACGTCACACTCTAATCTTCTACAGGTTGTGTTATAAGACGAAGGGGGCCGTGTAGTCATAGAAACGTCACACTCTAATCTTCTACAGGTTGTGTTATAAGATTAATGTGACCGTGTAGTCACAGAAACGTCACACTCTAATCTTCTACTGGTTGTGTTATAAGATGAAGTTGACCGTGTAGTCATCAAAACGTCACGCTCTAATCTTCTACTGGTTGTGTTATAAGATGAAGGTGGCCGTGTAGTCATCGAAACGTCACACTCTAATCTTCTACTGGTTGTGTTATAAGATGAAGGTGGCCACGTAGTTATCGAAACGTCACACTCTAACTTTCTACAGGTTGTGTTATAAGATTAAGGTGACCGTGTAGTCACAGAAACGTCACACTCTAATCTTCTACTGGTTGTGTTATAAGATGAAGTTGACCGTGTAGTCATCAAAACGTCACGCTCTAATCTTCTACTGGTTGTGTTATAAGATGAAGGTGGCCGTGTAGTCATCGAAACGTCACACTCTAATCTTCTACTGGTTGTGTTATAAGATGAAGGTGGCCGTGTAGTCATCGAAACGTCACACTCTAATCTTCTACTGGTTGTGTTATAAGATGAAGGTGACCGTGTAGTCATCAAAACGTCACACTCTAATCTTCTACTGGTTATGTTATAAGATTAAGGTGACCGTGTAGTCATCAAAACGTCACGCTCTAATCTTCTACTGGTTGTGTTATAACATGAAGGTGGCCATGTAGTCATCAAAACGTCACACTCTAATCTTCTACTGGTTGTGTTATAAGATGAAGGTGGCCATGTAGTCATCGAAACGTCACACTCTAATTTTCTACAGGTTGTGTTATAAGATGAAGGTGGCTATGTAGTCATCAAAACGTCACACTCTAATCTTCTACTGGTTGTGTTATAAGATGAAGGTGACCGTGTAGTCACCGAAACGTCACACTCTAATCTTCTACCGGTGGTGTTATAAGATGAAGGTGACCGTGTAGTCATCGAAACGTCACACTCTAATCTTCTACCGGTTGTGTTATAAGATGAAGGTGACCGTGTAGTCATCAAAACGTCACACTCTAATCTTCTTCTGGTTGTGTTATAAGATTAAGGTGACCGTGTAGTCACCGAAACGTCACACTCTAATCTTCTACCGGTTGTGTTATAAGATGAAGGTGACCGTGTAGTCATCAAAACGTCACACTCTAATCTTCTACTGGTTGTGCTATAAGATGAAGGTGACGTCACACTCTAATCTTCTACTGGTTGTGTTATAAGATTAAGGTAACCGTGTAGTCACAGAAACGTCACACTCTAATCTTCTACTGGTTGTGTTATAAGATGAAGGTGACCGTGTAGTCATCAAAACGTCACACTCTAATCTTCTACTGGTTGTGTTATAAGATGAAGGTGGCCATGTAGTCATCGAAACGTCACACTCTAATCTTCTACTGGTTGTGTTATAAGATGAAGATGACCGTGTAGTCATCGAAACGTCACACTCTAATCTTCTACTGGTTGTGTTATAAGATGAAGGTGGCCATGTAGTCATCAAAACGTCACACTCTAATCTTCTACCGGTTGTGTTATAAGATTAAGGTGACCGTGTAGTCATCAAAACGTCACACTCTAATCTTCTACTGGTTGTGTTATAAGATGAAGTTGACCGTGTAGTCATCAAAACGTCACGCTCTAATCTTCTACTGGTTGTGTTATAAGATGATGGTTACCGTGTAGTCATCGAAACGTCACACTCTAATCTTCTACTGGTTGTGTTATAAGATGAAAGTGGTCATGTAGTCATCGAAACGTCACACTCTAACTTTCTACAGGTTGTGTTATAAGATTAAGGTGACCGTGTAGTCACAGAAACGTCACACTCTAATCTTCTACTGGTTGTGTTATAAGATGAAGTTGACCGTGTAGTCATCAAAACGTCACGCTCTAATCTTCTACTGGTTGTGTTATAAGATGAAGGTGGCCGTGTAGTCATCGAAACGTCACACTCTAATCTTCTACTGGTTGTGTTATAAGATGAAGGTGGCCGTGTAGTCATCGAAACGTCACACTCTAATCTTCTACTGGTTGTGTTATAAGATGAAGGTGACCGTGTAGTCATCAAAACGTCACACTCTAATCTTCTACTGGTTATGTTATAAGATGAAGGTGACCGTGTAGTCATCAAAACGTCACACTCTAATCTTCTACTGGTTGTGTTATAAGCTGAAGGTTGTCGTGTAGTCATCGAAACGTCACACTCTAATCTTCTACTGGTTGTGTTATAAGATGAAAGTGGTCATGTAGTCATCGAAACGTCACACTCTAATCTTCTACTGGTTGTGTTATAAGATGAAGGTTACCGTATAGTCGTCGAAACGTCACACTCTAATCTTCTACTGGTTGTGTTATAAGATTAAGGTGACCGTGTAGTCATCAAAACGTCACACTCTAATCTTCTACCGGTTGTGTTATAAGATTAAGGTGACCGTGTAGTCATCAAAACGTCACACTCTAATCTTCTATCGGTTGTTTTATAAGATGAAGGTGACCGTGTAGTCATCAAAACGTCACACTCTAATCTTCTTCTGGTTGTGTTATAAGATTAAGGTGACCGTGTAGTCACCGAAACGTCACACTCTAATCTTCTACCGGTTGTGTTATAAGATGAAGGTGACCGTGTAGTCATCAAAACGTCACACTCTAATCTTCTACTGGTTGTGCTATAAGATGAAGGTGACGTCACACTCTAATCTTCTACTGGTTGTGTTATAAGATTAAGGTAACCGTGTAGTCACAGAAACGTCACACTCTAATCTTCTACTGGTTGTGTTATAAGATGAAGGTGACCGTGTAGTCATCAAAACGTCACACTCTAATCTTCTACTGGTTGTGTTATAAGATGAAGGTGGCCATGTAGTCATCGAAACGTCACACTCTAATCTTCTACTGGTTGTGTTATAAGATGAAGATGACCGTGTAGTCATCGAAACGTCACACTCTAATCTTCTACTGGTTGTGTTATAAGATGAAGGTGGCCATGTAGTCATCAAAACGTCACACTCTAATCTTCTACCGGTTGTGTTATAAGATTAAGGTGACCGTGTAGTCATCAAAACGTCACACTCTAATCTTCTACTGGTTGTGTTAAAACGTCAACATGATCACAATTCAAAATAAAATTCAATAAAACAAGGTCATAATAGAACCCGAGAAAAGATTTACACGGAGACTCTTGAAAAAGTATAAGAAGAATTAGACTATATGTTCCGGAAGAGTAAGCGTCTTCTGCTTCACAGACGACACACGCCATGTAAATCTTGGTCAATCCAAGTAAGTCATGCCACATTTTCAAATAAGGTATACCATAAGCACACCACAACAATAGATTCGGGAGAATGTTGATCAGAGAATTATTACTAATGTCTGTTAATTAAAGATTTACCATTACTATCTGTTTATTAAAGAATTACCATTACTATCTGTTACTTAGAGAATAAATTAAATAACAATGTAACAGTTAGTAAAACATTATCGGATTAGAGTTTACCGTGACACCCCAGTTCAAATGTGGCGGAGGATTTCCTGTCGCCGCACAGTGGAGGGTTACTGACTCTCCCGGTAAAATGTTCTGGGAAGGTGAAAGACTGGTTATCGTCGGTCTACTGGCTATGAAATATAGACAATAGGAAATGTATAACCTGTTAACTACAGGTTAACAGAATCACGTAAAAAGGAACAAGGATAATACGAACGACAGACTTGGACACTGGGGAAGTTACAAAGAAAACAAGACCAAACGTCCCGGTAGAGTAAGCGTCTTCTACTTTATCGACAACATTCACGTCCTTTTGGTGTTTTTTTTTTTAAATATTACAGATAGGAAAAATTACACTTTTCTTCAAATAGTGAGTATCAGTCTCGAATTAAATTATAAGATATATTATGCGTCATGGAGAAATTTAACCATTACATATTTGGTTTGAACATTATCGCTTTATTAAAAAAAGCAACATGTGTATGAATGATTGATAAGTTCGGTCATCTGAAATATTTAACCGAGAGATGGTACTAAATTAAACAGAATCTAACCGTTTAAATCTACAGTTATGGACACCATTCCTTTTATTTGACCAAACATTGTATTTCTATCGACAATGATAAATATGAAATAACGAAAACATTATGATATACTTTCTATTTGTTCATAAGACAAAATATCCTACAAAAGTGTACACGTACGCTTAAGGGTTGATGTTGATGATAAGGTTGATGTCGTTGCCGTTGTTGTTGATGACGTCGTCGTTGTTATCGACGTTGTTGTAGATGACGTCACCGTTGATGAAGATGACGGTTTAGTTGCGGAATGAGAACACTGGTCGTTGCAAAAATTGCTGCTGTTACAGCATTGTGCACATAAAGGCGAGATTCTTTTTCCTATGACAGCAACAGCAGCAGATAAACCAGTCTGGCATTCCTGTAGTAAATACATTTCATAGACATAGGAGTCAAATATCGCTCAAGTAGACAATTGTCTAATTCATGCTAAACGATTTTTTTTTTGTGAAATCACTCGTGTATGTGCGCATGAAGTCTGGTGTATGTAAAACAACATTTAGTAATCAGTACCACATTTTAATATATTTGACATCAATTTCTTTATTTCACTTACTCTTGTCTGTATTTCTTTCAAAAGTACAACAGAGTTTAAAATAAACTTTTTCTTGATAAATAAGTAAAATTAAATGAAAAGTTTGAAGAAATGTAAATTCTACACTAAAATATACTGTTTACCTGAATACCGATTCCACACCGACTTTCCCACAGGATAGCACCACTCAAACCACTTTGCTTGTGACCAATATAGCATTGCTACAGCGCGAAAAAATAAATTTGTTAAATGACTGATTAGTATCAATAACCAAAATGTTAGTACAAAATAAAATTCAATTATTCATCACAAGAACACGACGACATGAGTTGTGAACTTAGACTCTGTGTGATAAGGCTATGTTTTCTTGACATATACTCAACAAAAAAAGAAAGGTTAACATGTTTCCTTGGTGAATACCTGTAAATGAGTGAAAACAAAATGACGTTTGTGCAATATTAGAAAATGGTAATGTTTTACATTACAAAATCCAAGGGGGTTACCAAAATCATTCAAGCGTGAAAGTCTGTATTAGCGAAAGAGCTGCACGAGGTGTTCTGCGACTAACTTTTATCTTCGCTTAAATTTCATAAACATTCAAACTGACAACTGTTCCTTAGATCCTTAGGACTTAGAAATCACCGAATCTTGCTATCTATCAACTTTATCATTATGCCCCGGCTGTCACAAGTGCAGAAAGGGCTGTAGGCATGATCCAGGCTGGGGAGTCTCGCTGTCGAGTTGCACGGCATTTTGGTTGCAGTGTTAAGACAATTGTCAGTTGGTAAGTTGTTTAAATCAAACTGGGTCTACATCCGATCGTCAACGAAGCGGCCGACCCCGTAAAACGACCGCCAGGGATGACCGTCGTATACGATTGATACACTTGCGCAATCGATTCGTAACCGCAGTAGAGACTACAAGGACATTGTTTGGGCGTCGTGTCTCTCCCCAAACAGTCCACAGCAGGTTGAGGGCCTACCAATTGAAAGCGCGGCGTCCCTACACTGGACCCAATTTGTTGCGATGTCACCGTAATAATCGGCGTAACTGGACCCGTGTTCACCGTCGTTGGGCCTTACGACAATGGAACACTGTTCTGTTTTCAGATGAGTCCAAGTTTTGTCTGCAACACGGTGACGGAAGGCGCATAGTGTGGAGGCGACGAGGGGAGCGTTTTGCGAACTGCTGCGTCGCAGAACGGGACCGCCTTGGCGGCGGAAGTGTGATGGTTTGGGGTGGTATTTGTGGGGGACTCCTACCAGGCTTGTTGTGTTAAATAGCAATTTAACCGGCATTCGATATCGGGACGAAATTTTAAGACTAGTGGTTCTGCCATTCTTTAGACGCCATGGCGTTGACGCCATTTTTCAACAGGATAACGCACCAGCGCACACCAGTCACGTCAGCAGAACTTTCTTGCAGCAGAATAACGTACAGGTGTTAGATTGGCTATCTAAATCACCTGATTTGTCACCGATTGAGCATGTATGGGAGTTCTTGGGCGACGCGTGAGATAACGTCAAAATCAGCCGTCAAACTTGCAGGAGCTGGCCCAAGCCTTGATCGCTGAAAGGAACAACATCTCTCCTCGAATTATCCGCCGGTTTACGAGTTCCATGCGACGACGCTGCAATGCTGTTTACTTCGCAAACGGTGGCCATACCCGTTACTTATGGTGTTACTTTTTGAAATTGACCCCAACGTCCTTTACAGTCGAATAAAATCAACTGAACGCAAAGTTTTATAATGAACCATGACTGCACTTTTATCAGAATTGATCAATTACTTTATTCGTACATGATTGGTAAGGATTTATGAAGGGGTTAATTAATTAATCACAGAATAAAGTAGTGTTACCTTTCTTTTTTTGTTTAGTATATATTGTATATCTGATGGAACATTTTATTGAATACGTGGACATACGTTATCAGGCGCGAACCTTATTTTAAAGTATCAATTCAGTAACCCAATTATAACATGTGTGATAGAACGTTTTCCAGACCATTTGTCTGTCAACTACCACAGTGAGACTAAGGAGTGTCAGCTTAGTACAGACTCCCCCTACACTAACCCGGAGTTAGTACAGGAGGCACAATACTGGGAAATCTACTACCGACAGAAAGGTGAAGTATGATGAGGAGAGAATCTGTAGAACTATCATATTAATGGAAGACATTCCCAAAGCATGGTCACTATAGCCTGTTCACTGTCTCAGTTTTAGTGATGAGTCAGGAAAGACGACAACGAAGGTCATGGAAGTAAAACAACTCCTAAATGAAATGATTTATCATATTCACTTAATTACGTTCTGCTTTTTATAATTGTTTAATGATATAGGTAAACAATCGAACCACCCTCGCCTGGTGCACTTACAGCTAAAACATTAATGGGGATTCATTTCCTCGTAACTCATGAAATCAAATAAACGTTGAAATTTGTATATCATATTCATAGAGCTATATCTATCCATAAAAACCACGTGTCCACGATATAATTTTTGTTGAGACAAACCACGAAAATAGATCCTCACGAAATAAGTTTTTACGGCAATTCCTTATAAGGACATTATCATATAAACTGTAACTACTACCTGTATTTATGCTTGACTATTATACTTAAATATATAAAGTTCATTATTACGGTAAAACAACCATGAAGCTGATCAGGAAATGCGCTATGTGATCTATTGAGTAATTACCATTTAAATGCAGCTATTTTTCTGCGATTTCATCCCGCCCATTAAAATAGCGAAAACAAGAAATCCGCGAATTGATCAATCTCAACAGTGTCGCGTTCATTTCGTCACTGAGGAAATTTGTGTTTATGCCAATGATTAACACGTGTTACACATTTGACTCAAACTGAACAATCCTAGTTTATTAGTAAGATACAGGGTGCTAACAGTACAGTACAGAACGTATGAGGTTTATTATCATCAGTATAAACTGATCCGACATTTTATTATTTTGTTCCACTGAACGCTTAAGTATTGCCAGAGGCGAAGCAATAATGTATGCTTGTATGCTTAAACATTTGCCCTACTTTTTTTAACCTTACTGCGCCCCTAGACCCCCTTAACTGGGGCTTCGCCCTTGGATCCTCTCTTGAAAGCATACACTCTTAAAAATGTTTTGCTACGCCACTGATTGCAATTATATACTAACACGAAACAGAAACGCCGGGTACACTAAATATACTACAAATGATTTATTGCTTGGCCTAGAATAATGACACTCGGTCAGGTTGATGTGTTGTTCGCGCTCACTAGGTACACGTGTTCAAAATCACACAATACCTGATCTCCGCGCTCCGTGCGAGGCACGTGCTAAAATACAAGAATCCCGTGCAGGGGAAGGTCATTGAGTCCGCCAATGGAAATTTTCAGTCTATTTGATACTGTTCAAGTATTCGGATTGATTTTTCAAAGTTTGATTCGAATTAAGCAATTTACATCCATGCCACGATTGACAGAAGTCCAGCGGGGACAGGCTATAGGAATGCTTTTGCAGTGTCAGGGCCAACTTCAGGTTGCTGCACATTTTGGTGTGCATATTCGGACAATTCAACGTCTTGTCCAACGTGTGCGAGTGACGGGGAGGGTCATCGACCGACCGCGAACTGGACGTCCGCGCGTCACGACGCCACATCAGGATCGGTTTATAAGACTTTCTCACTTACGTAATTGCCATCTCACAGCTACCGAAACTGCAAATAACACTATAGGCAGTCATAACCGCCATATTCATCCTAATACGGTTCGAAACCGATTACGCGTCAATGGCCTAAGAACCCGACGTCCCTATGTTGGTCTGCCCCTAACTCCTGCGCGTCACCAACGCCGATTGGCTTGGTTACAAGCACACTCGCCCAGAAATTTTCCTATGAGGCAATGGAGACGGGTATTCTTCACTGACGAATCCCGGTTCACTCTCTACCGTTCTGACGGGCGACGTCGTGTATATCGACGTCGAGGGGAACGTTACACCGACGCGTGCCTCGCTGAGCAGGATAGGTTTTTGACATAATTAGCATTGATAATCGATAGAACCTTCAACAAATGGTTCCAAACAGATGAAATTGTATACAAAAATGAATGAAATAATGTAACATTAAATTATATCATTTAAAAGAATCTTTTTAGGTTACACGGCGTTTCTTTTTCGTTTTAGTATATATATATATATATATATATATATATATATGAATGATATATTTACATGTGTATTGTTTCTTCTGAAAGAAAAACAAAGAAAAATCAAAGTCGATTCAAAAATAAGTCATTGTCATACTCTGTAATACAAACATCAATGTGATATCTGCAATAAATTTATGTAAACATAATACTTTTGTATGTAAAATAAAGAAATCATATGTGCATGTATGCCACAGAGATTACAAGATAATACTATGTACATTAAATAATATTACGGTAAATGTTCCTATTTTCGATGGTTCAAATATTCACTGTACTACCAACATCTATTAGACATTAACTAGATATACAGACATTTTTTCTTTTATTTTTTATGTCATTCTCGAAATAGCGAAAAATTAACCCCCTCGAAAATAATAATTAAGGAAAATATTTATTTAATGTAGCTATAGGCACCTTTTTCGATTTAATTACATTTAACTGAACTCACCTGACTGGCAGGACATCTAGTTATTTTGTCACACTGGGATGGTGACGTCATCTGGTCACAATTATAGCATAATATATAGCCGTTTGTGTCTAATGCTGAATGAAAGTGAAATTAAAATAAGGTTAGAAGTATGATACAAAACATCAATAACGAAAACACATTTGTGAGGAATGTATTATATTTGCATTTGGTAATGCAAAGAGAAGATGTAATTGTAAAAAAATTATCGTATGGTAAGTATGTTGTAAATTGTTTGCTAAATAAGCAAATAACGATAACTCCACACTCAATTCAGCATTTAATGAAATGTTAAAAACAATAATAAAACCTCAAATTGCTTTTGAATCTATCAGGATTTTTTCTGTGAATATCCTTTTCACCATAATGGCCCAGTCAGTTTAGATATTTAAATATGGCACCTTGTTAGTAACGCTACTATACTGACAAAAATGTACGCTATGCCAACTTCTTTGACAATGGGAATCAACCAGTTCTGTAACTAGCAGTTACCGTGCTATCACGACTCAGTGTCATGTTGCCATGGTGACTCATTAGTTACGTCACATTGATCATTCACCAGTTCTGTAACAAGTAGTTACCGTGCTATCACGACCCAGTATCATGTAGCCATGGCGACTCATTAGTTACGTCACATTGATGGCGGGTTGATTATGAGTATATCGTTACTCAGTAATACCTACGTACGTTTTGTGTTACAGAGACCAGACATTGTATTACAGGCAGTGGTGTTACAACAGTTTTGACAAAAGATAGTTTGTCCATTACTTCTCCTTTCTCTCAGGTCTAACTCAGCAACATTTCCACGCTTTCCAAAACTGTTACATCGCTGTAATAGCAAGCAATAAATATACTCCAAATCTGTTACATCGCTGTAATAGCAAGCAATAAATATACTCCAAAACTGTTACATCGCTGTAATAGCAAGCAATAAATATACTCCAAAACTGTTACAATAAATCAGGATGTGTACATACATGAGAAACGCGCCAATTACTATAAATGTTACATCGCTGTAATAAAAGTAAATAATTTATTTTTCGTCCTTCTATGATACTGCATCATAAACTGTTACATCGCTGTAATAGCATCATACAATGATACTGCATCAAAACTGTTTCGTCCTTATACACTCGCTGTAATAGCCGTTTCGTCCTCCTATGACTCGTCAGTGATACTGCATCATACAGCTGTTTCGTCCTTCTAGTGATACTGCATCATACAGTTGTTTTGTCCTTATAGGACTCGTCAGTGATACTACATCATACAGCCGTTTCGTCCTCCTATGACTCGTCAGTGATACTGCATCATACAGCTGTTTCGTCCTTCTAGTGATACTGCATCATACAGTTGTTTTGTCCTTATAGGACTCGTCAGTGATACTACATCATACAGCCGTTTCGTCCTCCTATGACTCGTCAGTGATACTGCATCATACAGCTGTTTCGTCCTTATAGGACTCGTCAGTGATACTGCATCATACAGCTGTTTCGTCCTTCTAGTGATACTGCATCATACAGCTGTTTCGTCCTTATAGGACTCGTCAGTGATACTACATCATACAGCTGTTTCGTCCTCCTATGACTCGTTTCGCATCATACAGCTGTTTCGTCCTTATAGGACTCGTCAGTGATACTGCATCATACAGCTGTTTCGTCCTTCTAGTGATACTGCATCATACAGCTGTTTCGTCCTTATAGGACTCGTCAGTGATACTGCATCATACAGCTGTTTCGTCCTTATAGGACTCGTCAGTGATACTGCATCATACAGCTGTTTCGTCCTTATAGGACTTGTCAGTGATACTGCATCATACAGTTGTTTCGTCCTTATAGGACTCGTCTGTGATACTGCATCATACAGTTGTTTCGTCCTTCTAGTGATACTGCATCATACAGCTGTTTCGTCCTTATAGGACTCGTCAGTGATACTGCATCATACAGTTGTTTCGTCCTTATAGGACTCGTCTGTGATACTGCATCATACAGTTGTTTCGTCCTTATAGGACTCGTCAGTGATACTGCATCATACAGTTGTTTCGTCCTTATAGGACTCGTCTGTGATACTGCATCATACAGTTGTTTCGTCCTTCTATGACTCGTCAGTGATACTGCATCATACAGCTGTTTCGTCCTTATAGGACTCGTCAGTGATACTGCATCATACAGTTGTTTCGTCCTTATAGGACTCGTCTGTGATACTGCATCATACAGTTGTTTCGTCCTTATAGGACTCGTCAGTGATACTGCATCATACAGTTGTTTCGTCTTTCTAGGACTCGTTATTGATTGTATATAGTTTAAATGCTAGGATGATGAAAATCCAGGGCGATAACAAACAAATATCAATATCACGACGTAGAGATGCACTTGACTGATATCATAACAAATGCCTGACATATCACAATTAAGATGTAAGGTTTTTGACTTACAAACGACGATATACAGCCCACGTCATACATCACATGTCCACTAAGAGTAACATATTGTGATGTCATGCATTCCTGAAAAAAAATACAATTATGAAAAATCAAGATAACGGCAATTCTCCACTTCGCAACATAGTACGTGTTAAAATATCTACGATGTCTCAAATTTACCACTGTACAGAAGACACACAATAGAAAATGTTGAAAGATTGAAAACAAGAAACTATATCTGATAGAGATGAGTAGCTCAAAAACTATAATTCACCTCGTGATCTCCACATCTGGTCACGTGATCACAATGTCTGGGGTCGGATACATGTGTACATGAACCGCATAGTGGACCTCCCTCTGAAAATCATCAAAAATTCGAAAAATGATTTCTTATCATATGCATTTCAGGTTTTAACACCCGATTTTATTTACAACGTTCTACCTCGGGTGGTGGTGTTGCGCAGTTCACCTTTCACCTAGCAGTCCAGGGTTCGATTACCGAAACGAACTTGACTGAAAGGAATGCGGTCACTTGTTCGACCACGTGGGTTTTTCCCCGGATACTCCTATTTCCTCCACAGAAAATCCCCCTCGCGCTTTTATCCGCGTCAAAAAGAGTTATTGATATAAGCATACAGTTTGTTTAATAATTGTTTTAAAATAGACAAAGTTTGTATTATTTGTATACATGAAACGGTTTTATACATGCTTATCTGAATTTGTTTACATTTTGCTCGTACTGATACAAGATGTAAACTTTACAACAAATGTAAAAAAAACCTATTTCAGCTTATATTATTAATCACTCTTGTTGGCTCGAATTTGAGAGCTCGAGGGGTCTTATTGTAAGAGGAAACCGCAGTACTGTAGAAAAACTAACGTGGTCGGGCAGGCGATCCCTTACCTTTTCACTTCCGTTCCGGGAATCGAACCCTGGACGCCTGAGTGAAGGGCGAGGATGTTAACCACTCAGATATACTCAAATGTGTCGAGATACCGTTAGTTTGTACAACAACGATATTCCTACACGTAAACAACGACTGACAGATCCGCCAGAAGTTCCGTCAGTCATAGGGCCAATGTTTAGTTTATGTTACCAAGTAACGAATAACAGGTACTTCCAGATCAGTTGTCTTTTCTGAAATTTCTGAAAAAATCATTATTTGTACTAAACATGATCAAACGAAAATTATGATCATATTTTTCTGTATGTTTTACAGATTGCACCGAGATCATAACTTACCTGATAACTGAATTGCTCCGAAAACACAAACCAAAAGTATCAAGCTAGGAAAAAGAAGAAAAAAAAACAGACAAAATTTGATATGAAATCATATGCATACAGATACCCTGCTAAATCTCAAATACTTAAATGAAAACAAGATGATCCAGCTTAAGTTGAGATATAAGTTGAAATTTCCCAGACACAATATGCTCCACTCATTTGTAGAGTAAATTTTTTTCCCACACTGTGTAATATTGGTCTGTCCAGGGCAATACACACAGGTTCGTTGTTCTTGCATTACACAACCACCCAAGCAATAAAGTGACGCATGCGTATAAATGTGACGGATACCTTCCAAACTGACGTCATCGCCTTGTACAATGTATATACATGTGTGTACCTATACTTATTTGCAGAAACTGTTTGTATTTTGTTTTAATTTTTTTATGTTTGCCAAATCTGGTTACGAAAAAATGTTTTCTGTGCCAATTGGTCGATTAATTGGGTAATAAAGATAAGATTTGTGTGTGAATGGCAGCCTTGATCGTACATTGTTGAATTACAAATTACAGTGTTAGATGTAGATTGATTTACCTCATTACATTTACATATGATTCATTATCTATATTGCAGATTTATAAACTTATCAAACTGTTCCTTCTGATAGACATAAATATGTGATCCTATTCACACACAAAAATTATAACATTGATACACCAACCGTTCTACACCTGATATCACACCAACGCTCTTCTATCCTTCTTTATGGGTCTGCCACTCTTGATAGCAAAACAAATACTAAAATATTCGACTCTGTCTTAGAGTACATTACAGCAACTAATAGATTCCAGTGAATCTATTGGTTGCACCCCTCCCCCTTTTTTCCTCTCCCCTCTCTCACGTAACCCGATCATCTAAATATTTCTCCTATTGTCACACACGTATGTGAATACTTGAGATGTGTGAGCAGGTGCAAGTGAACATGAGTGTTAATGTGTATGTGATTGAGAATATGTGTGTATGCGTGAGTGTAACAGTATTGTGTCTGTTATTAATATTCTTTATCGTTTGTTGCATGTCCTACAAATGTATTAGGTTGTACGCTTTAATGTTAAATGTGACGAAAGTGACTGGTAGCCGTAAGGCTGTTCACAATCCTCGTTAAACAAATAAAAAATTAAATTCGAATTAAGTTGATACAGAAAGAAACCAAAATGTCATCCGGCAGTTAACCCATTGTAAAGTGGCAAACGTTCTCAGACTAAATATGTTACCTTAAATGCAAACTTACGTCACTCAGGTAATTTACATAAGTGCTTATCCGAATTCATTTTACTTCAAAATGACAGCTGCAAGTGCCATACTGTAAACATTAAGAACTTTTATAAAGACAAAATCCGCTAAGGTATTCAATTTGTGTTAATGAAATCACTCTGAATGTACGTTACCTTCCTATGTATGTGGGTTCCATGTTAGACACCGATAAAGATAGCACCGAAGTCGTATGAAAGATAACAATAAAATGGACCACAGTAAAATAATGATCACAAACTGATTTCTACTGTCTATGTAGTAACGACTTTAAAACGTCACTGTTTATAAAATATACAAATATATTATAATTGCTTTTCAAAATTGACTTTTTTTGACAATATTTAATTAATATTTGGTTTGTAATTTTAAAGATGGGAAACCAGCAAATATCTAATTTTGTAAATGTATTAAACTTGCATTAGTAGAGATATTTAAAAATTAACGATATCAGTTAATGCTTGGAAGGCCGTAGAGTGAGACTATAAAAATAGCTTACAATTCTTATCTTTTAGTATGACCTACTTAGATAACACTATGGGAATTTACACATGGTGATTTCTATCTGCCAAACTTCTTCTCCACACAAACAAACAGATATCATCGTTTACAATAATTTTCAGCTCTTCATAATCATTTGCTTTTAAAACAACCTGTACTATTGGGGATCATTTCATCTTGGCGCAAAAGATTTTTGAAGCAATTTCAAGTTAATGATATATAAGATACGTTTAGTCCTAGAGTCAAGCATTCACTTTCATATTTTTCTATTTAAGGTTAAGTTTCAAAATGTCCGCCATTGACAATAACTAATTAAAAGTGAATTTCTCGAAGCATTAATAATTTTCAAACGGTTATTTTTTACATTTTATTGTGTATTTATTTTAAATTTAACGTCTGTGAATGAGAGATATATATATCTTACAATGTAAACGGATATGACGACAAATAGAAAACGAATTCTAAGGGATGGGAGGGAAGGGGGCGTGGTGGTTAGTTTTTTACAGGATGGATGTCAGTCTCGATATTGTCTGTAGCTTTGATGCGGAAAATGACTTTTTCAATTGAGAATTAGTGGAGAATCTAGCAAGCATCAGCGACACGTTATCGGTTGTGTCACGGTTCCTACAGCTTATTTTTCCCCTATGCTCGTTACTTTACATATTGAATGACTGATATGATGTGAATTAGGTTTCGATGACGTTACGTCATATCATTCAAGCTCTTAGGCGTAGTGATGTGTTATATATAATCCTTCTTTGAATTATCAAAGGAGTAGATGCATTAAGGGTCAATTTTGGCCCCAGCATAGATTTTCTTAATTTTTATATCATGCAAACATGGACATATGACATTGATAAAAAAACAAGTTTTCAATAATTCTGACAATGCGTTGCCTAGCAACGGGCCTGGAAACCAACCTACTCTTTACCGTCTATTTGCACATTTTAGTGATATTTCACTGTTTTTTTTATTATTTGGTGAAAATATTTAATCAATTTTTACATATCAATGGTATGATTTAAAAATCATATCATATTTGTGATCAACCATCATATATTACATGTTTAAGATTTCCTAGCAACACAATAGCAACCAAACTCTCTCCATAGCAACGGATTGTAATAAATACAATAATGGACACAGAAAATTGATGATAATACTCAAGGGCTGTTTAGATTATGATACATCTTAAAAATGTAAATATGATGATACAATAGAGCATATAGGTGGTATTCCACAGTAACCATGTCTTACCATAGCAACTAAATATTTCACCATAGCAACAGTACATGCAATAATCAGTACATCAATTTGTCAATACTTCCGTACACGGTTATCTTTATATTCTTGGTTAATTTGAAAAGGATATGAAATCAAACATGTTACAGTTAATGATTCTTACAAAAGTTAAAAGTTATTTCAAATAAACATTATGCACTAACAAAATACATTGTCATTCGAGATTAAAGCCAATTCCTCAGTCGATCAAGTGACCATCGTGCATTTGTAATTACATTTTTGGAGATTCCGAAATTTATATGTAATTTACATGGCTACATCGGTAAAGCTGTGCTGTTTTATTCCTCCGTGTTACCTTCATCATCACTCTCATCAATACTGATTGGGTCTGGTGTATAACTGGCATCTTGTAAATATTGTGTCCAGTCCTTACTAAAGTCAAAGGACTTGTCTAAATGACGTGCAAATCCCATATACCATAAGATGGATGCAACATGGGAGCAAGTCCCAACCACCCTCGCCCCAGCACGGCATGTACAGTACCATCCTTGCACATTACAATCATCAAATGATACCCACAATTGGTAAAGTTTTGAGGAAAAATGTCGGCTCTGTATCTTGGCATTGATCAGATTAGCATCTACTTTACAGATAGATACTTCATATCCTCCCGTTTCGCTCATATGTTCCTGTGTGTAGGACCGTGCCAGTTTGAGCTGATACACTCCCAGTGTCAAATTCCGCAGGTCTTCTTCTGTCAGAACAGGAAATATGATATCAGTTGTGGTCTCCATCTTCTGCCACTTACTAGGTCGATTGAAAAGGCCTTCTCGTTCAATTCTCTCCCAAAGAGAATTCTGCTTCCGTGACAAATGCAACATTTTCGATCCTAGCAGTTGATCTTGCTCTGCATCCCCCGTGCTTATTGGTGTACCGAACTTGTTGAAGATTGCACACACAATCCTGACAATATCGCCTATGTATGGAATCTGTGAGTTTGGCAACACCCGATCCAAATATTTCCAGGTTTTTAACCGTCCATTCACAGCCTCAACGACCCATCTGAAAAATAGTAAATAGATGCATTTTGAATGTGAATAAATGCAGTATTCAAATGCATATGATGGTAACTATATCAAATAAATTTTGTTTTCAATTTCGACATCTTCTAAATGGACAGGTTTATGCAGTTCAACTTATAAAATCGAAAGTATCTAATTCTCACTGGGAATTACCTTTAACCATTTTAATGATATATTAATACAAATAAGTTATAAATATGTTGTAAAAGCAATTGGTAAATTTAGTAAAATGTTACTCAGAACAAAGAGAGACCTTACCTTATTTTAGTAACAAGCCTGGAAGCGTTGCTTTCTCCGGTAGTGTGCTGTTTCCTTTGCTTGGAAAAAGAAGGCCTCTCTGTTTGTATTCCTAGCTGTTGTAGGAGGTCCATGGAATCTCTAAAGCCTCTGTCAACCACAAACACATCATTTTCCTGAATCCACTCCTTGATTTCTTGAATGTTGGAATTTAAAATCTGATTCAGGATGCTGGCATCATTGTTTTTGGAATCGGCAAAATAGGGACCTAACACGGACACTATGTAACCTGTTGTGGTGACAAACATCATAGGTTTTACCAACGGCCGGTGCTTATGCATGCTGTAACTCCTCCTTTGGAACATAAATTGGCCACTCTTTTGTATATAAATGTAGGTGCCATCAATTACAAGAATGGCTGGTTCCATAAGTCCTCCAAACAATGTTTGGGCGAGTGGTCTTGTGTGTTTCAGTATAACATCTTGTCGACTTACATGCTGAAATCCCAGATTTGATGGAACAAAGTCTTTCGCTAGTGCAACTCTTGCCGATGTTACTGCACGTCGAATAGAATCTTTTCCAATGTTAAAAACTGTTGATAGGACTTTATTTGACATGCCACTTTTTAGTTTAGTAAGAAAGATGCCGACACAAGATTTAATGCTCCTATTCTTTGAAGATCGCACAGAACCAGCACAGTGAGTACACAAATCGTTAAAATGCTGTGTACATAGTCCAGTTAGTGTAATGAAATCTTCATTCGAAAGGGCATGCGGTGAGTCAAAGTCAATGCGTTTGCTTTGCTGTGTATTTGCTACATCTCTAATCTTAGAAATCAATGCCACTATTTCAGTACGATTAAGAGAAGATAGGTCACTTTTTATAGCAATGTTTTCACAAGCATCATTTTGCAATAGACCATCCTCGATATGATGACTACAACATCTTGCTCCGAACGGAACTAAAACCCCTTTTCACAGGAAGAGGTCGTATTTCGCGTCACAAGATATTACCACCAGTTTCTTTGGGTAGGAATTGAAACATTTTTGTGGCTACTTCCAGTGGATGGGATTGAAAGTGTAATATTCCGCGGCGATGAAAGGATGTTCTTTGTTGATTTATTACAAGGGGCTTCAACTGAAGAGTGGTGTTGAGCGATGTGTGTACGACGCTGTAGTATTGAGCGATGACATGACATACGACACTTTCCACAAATGACATCTTCTTCTTTTGTTTGTATCATATATGTTTTCAACAAATATTTTCTTAGTGAAGAGTTTTCCTTGCCTTTAGTGAAGCGCCTGTCCCCAGGTTTTGTTCTCTTAGAACAAACAACACACCGAAATTCTCCCTTTCCAGGCATCCTAAACAAATAGATACTAACTATATTAAAATATGTCCCAAACATCAGAAACTAAAGGGCGTCTGGGCATTTACTTATTGTATGTTGAATAAATATGAAACATTGTATCCATCACTTGTTGTTTATACAGTGTATCATGCAATACTGATCTTCATAATGTTATTACAATGATTTATCAAACATGTAAATTGATGTGTTAACAGGGACCCGAGTCAGATATGAGCATTGCTTTGACTGGGTGTTAAATATTTGTATTACTTTACTAGAAGTCAATAATTGCTTTATTATACAGTATATACTGTATGAAATAATAAAATAATAGCTATTTTAGAAGCTGGTAGCTGGACTCATATGAAGTAATCGAAAATGTTTATCATTGTTCTTCATAAATAGCCAACAAGGAAAGACTGGACAAACAATTGGTGGGAGACAGACAGTGACAATTACATTAAACACATGTATAATAGAAAAAAAACCTGTTTTTATTACAATACATATATCAGTCACCTTTTTTAAAATAAAATATTGTAGTAGAAACGGAAATAAACATGATAATGAGAGAATTCTCCTCCAAGTATTTCAGATTTCTGTTACTTAACAATTTGAAGCATAGAAATAAGATTAATTCAGGAACTTCCTAAAACACTTACATGTAACTTCAAGAATCTCCAGGCATTTTCTCGCTACTCTCTGTCTCCTATTACGTCACTAGTAAACCTTAAAGAATGAAAATAA